CTGGCTATAACGAGAGAATAAAGATAGCTATCGACGTCGCTGCTACTAATTTTTGCATAGGTATCAATTTCAATATTTTGAAGTACTTTTGTCGAAGTGTGGCGTCAAATTTTGAAAAACGACGCGCTGTGTGTTTTGTGGGAAGTGCGTTTGGAATTCTTGCATGATGTCTTGATGATGGTTCACACGGAATCTGTGTCAGCGCATTCGATTGGAGTACTCTGTTATCATATGATGGGAATATATAAACACGTGTCATGTCCAAGAAAGCTAGGAAGAATTTGACAATGTCTATTGTGTATATTACTCAGTTTATGCTTTGTAGGAATTTCCTGTTACAAAACTGATATCTCTACTTGCTTTATACAGGCACAAAATATGATCTGGACTTCAAGTCTCCAAATAAGTCAGGGCAGAATTTCAAATCTGGGGAGGATATGATAGACATGTATAAAGAACTCTGTTCTGGTACCTAGTCTAATTCAAACGCTTCTGATGAATTTTGCTTATTTGATTTATATGATCCTCTCACTTGCATAAAACATGATGAGTTCCACGGTTTTTTAATTTTTTATCCTAGACTATCCGATCGTATCAATCGAAGATCCATTTGACAAGGAGGACTGGGAGCATGTCAAGTATTTCTCTAGCCTTGGAGTTTGCCAGGTGCACCTTTGTTTTTATCTCTTCATCCTATTGATAGTCTATGCATGGCCAGTTTTTGCCATGGAAGAATAATTCTGCAGTCTTATGCTTTTTCTATTTCTGTCACTGTAATGCATAGTAGACTATAATGCTGCTCTTCTCCACCCCTTCCCAACCCAATTCCTGAATACCTAGAGCAAAGACAGCAAAAGAGCAGCTTCCAGATCGGTTAAGTTAGATCCTTTGTAAATGATGATTAACTATGGAGTGCTCTCTGGTTGCCTTTTTCCTTAACCGAGCTTTTTGATCTAGCAATAATCATGGTAGATATTCCCTCTTCATAGCATTAGTTAATCTCATTTGAAGTTTCTGTTCCTCAGTTCTTTTGTGGTGATTACAAAATAAATGATATCTCACCCTTATTTCTCAGGTTGTTGGGGATGACTTGTTAATGTCAAATCCCAAGCGTGTTGAGAGAGCAATCAGTGAGTCCACTTGTAATGCTTTTCTTCTCAAGGTATCAGACTCTCGCTTTACTTAACTGCTGTATTTGGCATTGAGATTCGTATGAAACCTTTATATATCCCAGTTTACTTTAAAGAGAGAGCAGAAGAAAAGGTAATAGGGCCTGCTTTTACAGTGAAGAAGCTATTGTTCAGTGATAGCAAATGTCCCCATCACAAGTAGCCCCAAATTTTGCCTCTGTATGAATTCTTTGGGTGAGACTCACCAGGTGTACAAAATGCCCAATAGGTAAACCAGATTGGAACGGTGACGGAGGCCATTGAGGTGGTCAAGCTGGCAAAGGATGCTCATTGGGGAATTGTAACATCACATAGATGTGGTGAAACTGAAGATACTTTCATAGCCGACCTATCTGTGGGACTAGGTACTGGTCACATCAAAGCAGGTGCTCCTTGTCGAGGAGAACGACTGGCAAAGTACAACCAGGTCTGCCTTCATATTGACAAAAGCAACAATGTCCTTCTATATTCTTAACTTTCATGATTGATAATATCCTGATCTAAATCGCCTATGATCATATGAAATCTAAAGAACGGTCCAAATCTCAAGGAGGATCTTAATAGGGTTCCAACCCTAGTTGATAGCATCATAAGTCTGACATGATCCTACCAATAGTACCAATTCAAATTTCATGTAAATATATTCTGGACTTTGCATTTGTAGAATGAAATTGTAGGTATCAAAAAATAGGCCTCCCTTATACTACTGTGTTTAGTTAAGAATAAATGTCTCTAAAACGATACTTTTATGGAGTTGTGGTCATACCAGAAACGTTATAGTCAATGTCAGCTAGTTATTTATGTCTTATATATTCTTTTAGGATTTTGAGTATCTTATGATCTCGATATGGTCTTATGATGCGATCGCTCAGGCGTCCCATCCATCCTAAGTCAGCTCCTGATTTTAACAACCTTGCCAACCATCAATTCGTAAACATTTACACCTGGGAAGGAGGTAGCAGGATTTGTGTAGCAAAGTCTTGAATCATGTAGCCTCATATTGTGTTATTCAAAAAATAAAAGGTAGGCTCCCCTGAACTGTTAGAGGGAGCTCCTGAGCACATCTTTGAAGTCGTCTTATTGCATTTCATATCCTACTTGAGTAGATTATATTAAGGATTTTACAAGGCACTTAAGTAGTTGAGATCCTTTCTCGTCTCTCAATAATTCCAATATAAGCACCAGTAAAGCACTCATGGCTATTGATAATTGTTTTGTTTAGATAATGAATGTAAATTAGAGTTGCGTATGGTCATATAGGGATTGGCAATTTTGACAAGATTTTACTTGATTTAACACTATTATTAAAGCCGATATTGGAAAATTTGAAAGTGACAGATTCAAAATTCATCAATTTTTATTTTGTTCGGCAAAATTATGATTTGCAATGACATGACTAGGCAGTAATTCAAGACCCTAATTTGACACATGAACACGAATTGCTGGCCCCTAGAATCCAAAGATCTCAGCTGTTGATTCAGCCTCTAGATAAGTATTGGTCTTTAGAGAGCAGCCCTGACATTTTAACATCAAAGGGCCCCAAAGACTACAAAATGTAACAAAGTTTAACCTCAGTGTAAAATGTCGCTGTTAGACTGCATGGTAAGGAAAGCTGTGTACAACTAAACTCTGAAATGTTTCTTGCAGTTGCTCCGCATTGAGGAAGAGCTTGGTGATCAAGCTGTTTATGTCGGTGAAGATTGGAGGCTGTCATAACGGTTAATGTTTCTTATGGGGACTTAAGACCATCTTATTAAAATCAGGTACTGAGCGTGAATGAATACTGCCCCCCTTTTTTGGTTCAACCCTCGAGAAAATCGTTATTATTGGAAGACCGACTTTTCTGGTTGAGTGGCAGGTCTTGTGAGATGTGTTGTATTCTTTGTGAAGCTTTTTGTTTAATCATTAGGGATTGTTGTTTTAGATTAAGGTAATAGATGTAATTTTTTGGTCGGAATTATAGATTTGGGCATAATGGAAGGAACATGGGCCGAGCTTGTTTAAAATAGGCTATTGCCATCATTCGTCCAACCAATTGGCTCGCATGTCTTAATTATTGCACCGACGTACCGAAGACATGTAACGGCTGTATTACTCAAGTTTTACTTTGTAGGGCATCCGACGTCCAATCGTACTTTTCGTTGGGTGCAAAAGTATAGGAGGTGCACCTGGAAGGTGCAACAATTTCCGGGCAAAGATGACTATCTCGGTTCGACAATCTCTCTTGCCAACCGGCCATGAAACTGTAAACGATGACTTCAGGATAAGTCGTGAGAGATGCCGGGCTCTTTGAAGAGGTGGTCATATGTAATAGCATGAAGCAATTGCCTCAGCGAATGCTGGTTTGGGCACATTTAATGTACGGTGCGGGCATTTGCAATCCTAATATACAGGATTGAATATCCTGTCATTTGTGTGCTGATTCATGGTAAATACTGGTCCTGAAGCGTTCATGGAACGTGGACTTGGGGATATCACGGACATGGCTGAAGCTGTCAGTGTTGTCTTTGTTATGCTTATATGTTTACATGGGTACAATGTCGTGGGCATAAGAGGATCTACGAAATACAAATGATCAACGAGCAGTTAGCATTGCCTCATCTTGTGATTCCAAGAAACCTCGCCTCGCTCAAGACAAGAATAAAAACCGTAAGGAGCTGATTGAGGCAAACTCCGAGTTTATGGATCAATTCAAGCAGCCCTAAAGTATAGGGAGCTAAATGTGAAAATAATCAGGACCCAAAGTAACCATACGATGACAAAATTTCCAGATTTGCTCGAGTGTGGGCAAAGAAGGATGCATTTCAGCTATGTTCGGGAGGCAAGAACAATTTTGAAGAGAATGAGCATGACCTTTTAAACTTTCTCCTCTTATCCTCATAAGAACTTCAAAATTTTCCTTGTATTACTCAAATTTTCATTCCTATCACTTTTCTTTTCCAGACATAGCTAGTTCAGAAACAAGACAAGTTCCACTGGCATCCGATCTGGGCACGAGGGCAGTTAGAGGTCGACCAAGAAGATTCCTGGGACGGCAACAGAAGTGGCTAGCCCTACCATTATAACTTACACAGTACCATCATTAGTGAAACAGTATAAGAGAGACTATAAATTATGCCCAGAACCTCCGACAGTTTTATGACCCTAATCCTGCTGCATGCATAGCAATTGATGGTTGGATAACACATTCAATGCCAAGAATACTACTCGATGTGCACAAATTAATTTATAGAATGATATATCAAGGCTTGATCAAATATTTGAACATGACCTAATTGTTTGGTATCCACTCGGTACTGATCAAATCACTTTGTAAACCAACACTAACTTTTTGATCACATCGCTTCCTTGAGAAAATGAAAAGTGGATAGTCAAGAATAAAAATAAATAACAATCCCACCAAAGTTTTTCCTCTTACAGACATATGGCTCCATCCGCATACCGCGTAAAGCTCCATTCATTGGAAGTTGATGGCGAAGATGGCCCCCAAAATTTATCTATGAGAATACTGATGCGAATATGGAATCTCTAAGTATTATTGCACAAACTCAGTGTACCATATTATGAATTCACAGTGCAATCCATCCTTTGATCCCACCGAAAAACCCAACTGCAATACAATTTCTACACATTGATTTTATCCACAACCTCGAGTCATGAAACCAGGATTACAACCCCATTAACTTCCTCTCGGTAGCACAGATGATGTGATGGGAGCACCATCTTCAATATTCCCCAAAATTGGTTGGTTCTATTGTACCCAAGATTGTCTTAAAAGAAAACCACAAAGATTGCACAAGTCACAAAGTAATTGAAACTTCATGCCATGAGTTGGAAGAAAGACCTAAAATCCATTAGAGAACTTCCCTAAAGTCAGAAGCAAGCGTAAAGCATACATTGGGGGAGGACATAACACTGATTCAAAGCTACTAACATTTTCCAACTCGGGGAAGACCCTGTAAAGAGTAGAAAAAAAAATCCTGAGACAGAAACATGAATTACCACAGGCTTCAAAACAGTTTAACTAATTCGGGACTCCAGCAACTTATGGCTTTGTCTCGTCCTCATCCTCTTCTATCTTAGGAGCCAGGTAAAACCTGATATAACCCATCTCGGCAATCTTGTACTCGACAACAACAGGAAGATCCGAAGACAAACTGATAGTCACAGTGTTAGATAAAGGGGTTGCCTTCGTGAAGGAGTTCAGATACCTCAGTGCAAAAGTCAATGTCACTGGCTCATTCATTTCAACGACTGTAGCTTCCTCCGGCTTCAATGGTTCACCCAAAACAATTAACAAATAGATTTAATCAGTAACGGCATACTCTGAGAAAAAGCGCCCTCAAATTGTGAAAGGCATGCAAATGTGTCCCAGAATCAGTAAATGAAAAATGCAATGGACCATTAAAAAACAGGACTCACCTTGTCGACTGTTGTATTCTGCCTGCAAACAATATTTGCAGTTCCTATATCACCTCTGGTAGAAAATTTCACGCCCTCCTTCGTCACGGATATAACAACTGCAGGATCGAATCAAGAAAAATTCATCATCTTATGGACATGCCAAAAACTTAGGATAAAAACTTCGGATAACTTAATTGCAGAAGCCATTAAGTAGAGAATGACAAAATACCGGTATCACCAATGCTACTGAGATCTTTACAAATCCTAGCAAACTCAGCTGACGGCATCCTAACAATGGCATGGTACTCTGCCTCCGGTATTCCAAGATGCTCGCTGTCTATGTCCATCAATTTCATCTCGAAGTCAGCAATTTTATCCTGCGCTGTAACACGCACTAGGTTGTTAACACAAGATCCAAGAGTACAACAAAAAAAAGATGAACAAACTAAATTGACAGGAGACATAGACTCTTCCCTCGCTCCATTAGGACCCTCCTATAACTAGCACAAGCGAGTACAGATAATACACTCATAGGGGTAATCCATATGCGAAAGGTATTTAATAACTTATCGAGAGGGACCTTACAGAACATCCCAGGATCATGCCTCCTTTTCATCACCTGATGATTCCCAAAAGGGATGACAAGGAGGACATCTTGGTCAAGGTATATTCATCTTATAAGGGAGAGGACACCAGACAGGGGCTTCTATTGCTTAACCAGAGTCAACTACTTCCTTGACAACATATGAAGCTGAGACTGCTACAAAGACTGGTGCAGATCCGACACATAAACCTTCCACGAACTTCCAAGTGCCGCATCGAGCCAACATAAGATCAAAATGATTCAACAATTCGCCGACATCGCACTAAGGCTGCTTAACCACGCCGTACTTACGAGCAATCGGCAAAACGAATGTCTCAGAAAACCGGAATTAAACCGACGAAACAAAGCTAAAGCGGCAGATCCAGAACTCAGTCAGCGAAAGAAACAAACAGAGCGCGGGCATCAAACGGAAGCACCGTCGGAGAAACCGACAAAAAACAGGCACCGAAACCCCCCAACCCCTACCACCACTTCCCTCGCTGAACGGAAAAACCAAAAACCAGGAGAGGGGAGGGGAGACGTACTCGGGCTCTCGAACATGAAGGTGACCGTGTCGCTGCCGTCGTCGGCCTTGATGGTGATGATGTCGTCGTTGCCGGCGCACTTGAGCATCTTGGACATGTTGTTGAGGTTCATCCCCATGGAGATGTTGCGGTCGCACCGGTAGTGCTCGAAGCCCTCCGACCGGAGGAGGAGGGCCACCAGGGCCACGTGGCTGGAGTCCATGGCCTGGAGGGAGAACCCCGTGGCGGAGCAGTCGAAGTTGGCGTCGTTGACGAGGTCCTTGAGCGACTCCAGGACCTTCTTCAGCAGCGATCCCTGCACTAGCCGCAGCTCCAGCATCGTGTTCTCTCGCGCGCGCGACGGAGACGGAGGAGGAAGCTAGGGTTTCCGGCGGGAAAGTGAGGGAAAATTTTGAGAGGAAGTGGGTGTTTTGCTCTTTTGCCCCGGTTCTTCGGTTCGGTTCCGGGACCCAGGACCGATGGAACCGACTTTTATTGGCAGTTTTTTTTTTAAATTAAATTAAATTAAAAAAATTGATTGTTTTTAAGGAAGCGCGAGGTTTGCTTCTGTTGGCGGGACTGGGGCGTGAATCGTTCCCGCCACGATTTCGATGATGAGGGAGGGCTGTGTTAGGCTGCGGGCGTGTGCAGGATAGGAATCTCTTGCGCCAGCTTTGTTTTTTTCCTTTCTCTTTGGGCCTTGGGCCTTGGGCCTTGGGCCTTGGGTCTTTAGTCGGTTGAAAGTGTAGCTGTGGGCTTTGACTTTGTGAGGCCCGGTACGTAGGGGCGTAGGTTCAGATTCCCAAAATTTCTCCACGCAGGATCGTTCATGCTACAGTAGAACTCGGATCGTCGTTGTCCAGTTCGTGTGATTATATGGTGCCAAAAGAGGGGAAATTTTGTTTTACCAAAATCCCGACCTATAAAATTTGAACAAAATACTGCTCATGTGAAAAACTCAGCACCTATCCATACGTACCAAGAACAATGATCACTCCCTTGCATCGAATTGGCTTGGTGCTAGGTCAAGCGAACTAGGGGTGAGCATCAAGACCGATTCAATTCAGGAACCGAACTACCAATTCCTGGATTGAACAGGCTTTAAAGGAAAAAGTAGTTTTGCATCCAACGAGAATCGAACCATGATCTTTAACTTGAAGAAACAACATAATCATCTGACTAATATATGTATTGTAGTGAAATGGTACAAATTTCATATTTTATTATAAGAACTTAAATTTTTACACAAAATAGAAACGGGGTCCGGTTCACAGTCCCAAACAAAAACATTTGGAAAGGGGGGAGTGACAATATCGGCCGGAAACCGAAGAGCTGATCACCCCTAAATTGAAGTAACTCAAGAGTCACTTTTGTTTACCAGCAAAGGAGTTCGAGGCAACAACACCGGACTTGCATCTCCGAGGCTCGGCGCAATGTGCGGTCAAGACCACTTACGTTACCCGACCATTCACCAACGACTTTCGGTTGCCTGTAATAAATGGCAGATCGGCCAGCTCTGCCAATTGGGTCTGTAGTCTGAAAAGTCTACACCGAAATGTCAGAAAACTCATGCGTCGACCAGCACGCGATTTAATCGCAGAAGAGCCCCACCGCCACCTATCGATATTTATCCAAAACAGATGCAGCATGCATCTAGATATTTTATCTAAAGTTTCCAACTCCGGTGGTCCCAACACTAACGCAACTTTTCCATCCTGGACCCGTAACAGCAAGGCAGAAATATCTGCTCATAAAACGGAAGGCCTATAAATTCACCAGATCGGGCCTATTCTCTTGAACCTATAGGGGGAGAGAGATTAGAGAGATTCTGGGCAAAGCGGGGAAAGAGGAGATGGAGCGTTGCAGTAGGCCTAACAGGAGCGACGTTCACTTGTCCAAGGAGGAAGAGGCGATGCTCGAGGAGAAGACCAAGGAGTACTTCGATGGCATTGCTCCCAAGCGGCACGCGAAGCCCCAGCGAAGCGAGTACTCCTCCAATTATGTCGACGTCCTGTCCACCGACGGCGATATCCCGGAATTCGTCGAGTTCCAGCGCCTCGAGAATGATCCTCAGGTTTCGGTTTCTCCTCCGTCTGGCTTCGTTTGTATCGGACTTATTCCTGCGGAAAATACAAAGTAAACTTGTGCCGTGCTTGAATGATCGTATCGATTGTGCCTCTCGGATTGCCTTCTCCGACTTCATTTCGTGTGTCGAGATCAAACTGATTTTGTGTACTTGAGAGGACCAAAAGATTGATGAGAAGAAAAATGAGCCCATGGTTTCACTTCACGACCCTTTGCCTTGGTAAACAACCACGACTTCCGGTGAAAGCATAGAAAAATAAGACCGTCAGAATTTACAGCATCATAGTACAAGGGCCGTCCACTTGGATTGCCTTTTCGAATCTGTCAAGATCGAACCAACTTCAATACTTTCAATGTACCAACAAGGAAAGAATGCTTCAGAGAAAGGGAAAAAAGTTCTACACAAGCCAAAAACCGCATTCGTGTGCTTCATTATCCGTTCATAAAGGCAATTAGGTGACAGATTAGGCTCTTAAAATTCATGATATCTTCTTGCTCATGTGGTAGAATAAAGAAATCAAAGAGCACACCTGACAAATTCGCTCTATTACCTTTTATAAATGTTCCTTGGGTTTGATCTCCTTCAACAAATAAACCCTTTTTGCCTTTCTTGCGTAAACAGAAACTCGTCTATGGTGGATGCGAAGCGAAGGAGGACTTCGTAGAGACTGAATATTACAAGGATCTCAACGGCGTTGACAAGCAGCACCACAGGGTATGAACATTTCTCAAAGCAAATGTCAAATTGTGCTCTGTAAAATTCTAATTTAGGCCCTTAAATTTACCTTGTCAAAACAATATTCCACTAAGCCTGCAATTGAAGACACTATTAATCAAGCTCTTGTAGAATTAGATCTAATAAGCTATTTCTCAAATTAATAGATTGGCAAATAACTTTTAATGGTTCTCTGGGGTATAAATTGAGAAGTAGACTTGTAGTGCGAGGCGATTAGTGAGTACCTTCTAACTATCTGAGCACATGCCAGACTGGGACAGGATTTATAACGATGGAGAACACCAAAGGCGAGGGCTTCAATCTTGACTCGGAAGCCTCCACCATACGTCACGCCTCTTGCAAGGGGAACCCAGCAACTAATGAGTGGATTCCAGTTGCTTCTGACATTGTAGGCGAGCATATCTGCATGAAATTTGATAGTTACCAACCGTAGTTTTAGACATTATCTCTGACTCACATCATGCCTTTTGTTTCAGGTGACAGTTCACTCTGATAAACCAAAAAGAAGTGATAATTGAGAAGAGAGCAACAATGTTGTTATGACCCTCAAGCAAGCCCGGTGCTTTATGCAGTTATTTCAACTTGCTTATGAGCTTTTACTATTCTGAAAATGTACTACAAATTATGTTCTTCAAGGTATTGCAGTGTTTAGATGTAAGTTTCTGAGTGTTATGCATCACTTAAAAAGTGTAATGAAGAGTTAATCCTGTTGCTTGTTTCTCCTTTTAATATAGAGGACCAGCAATATATAGTAGAAAACTATTACAAATGGAATGCGTCATTGGCTCTTCCCGTAACACTCCAAGTTGTGATTCCGGTATATCATTTCTGGTGTATTGGAGAAAAATACCAGGTCTTATATTAAAAATTCAAACTGGTGGAAGCCAAGTGGAGCCCTATATTTCTCTCTTTACCAATTTCCAGACTCCTGACACCTGAGGGTTTGAGAGAGAACTCTCAAAGCCAGCATACAGAAGGAATTTGGTCGATATAGCACAATGAACAACCATATTTCAATTTCAAATATCATGACAATCTGTTAGTTTCAACTCTTTACAGAAGCAAGATATCTTATGTATACACTGTCTAGTTCAAGAAATTCATAACATCACTAACAGAAAGCATTGATTTTAATGCAGAAACTGAAATCCATTAACACAAACAGATTATAGACCATAAAAAGACCATTTTAATAATTTTCGCTCTTTGCTACTACCATGACAGACATTTTAACTCTCGTCTTGCCTACTACCATCCAAGGAAAAGTCTCGTTTACCAACTTTAATTTGCCAAATTTCTGAAGCATCACATGGTAACTGCACAAGATATTGCGTACCTCGACAGTAGAACAGTATGCACTTTTTTTCTGACTGTCACTTTATGGAAATATCCACAAGGAACCTGACATTGTTTATGAAATTCCTATATGCAAATGATAATTCGACCTTTACGTCCAAATATATAACAATTAATGTATAGTGTAACCCAATCGGACACATATAGACATGGTCGGATTTTCTTTCCATACTGGAAAATAAATTCTCCAAATTACAAAGACCTGACACAAGTTTCTGCATTATGGTATATAAAAGTGTGAGTCACAGGTATTGATTGACCCCTCCGCACACAAGAAAATTTTTCTGCTGGGCACATTTGTGTCAAGACGTATTAATGAACTTTCTACCAATAATAGGCAAATCAGGGCCAAATAAGGTAATTATGCAAACTATGCTGCATGAACACCCCCCCCGCGCCCCCAAAAAAAATTAATTAATTAATTAAATAAAATCCAGTTTCAAAGAGTTAAACACTGCAGTGGCTAACTTTTCGATGTTTTACTCCCTGTTAATGTTAACACTCAATTATCCAGACAGAACTTGGCTGATATACCTGCCAATGATGACCTCCCATAGTGTGCGTCATTAAAGGGAAAGGGAACGAGTACTTCAAAGGAGCCATGAATGTTAGTGCCCCAACTGAAAAATACAACCCCATGCTCCTGCAGAATTGAAGATTCATCATCTTCGGGCAAAGAACATTCCAAAAATGAAAATAGACAAACGATTGCTGTGAAACACATAAAAATAAATATTGATGCATTTAGAAAATGTTGAGTTAATAAACGATACAAAAGTATTTATTATTATAAGAAATGAGAATATACGTTAAAGGAGAATCTTCGTCAAAAGGAAGCTCCAGCATACCAGGTTTCCGTGTATGACATTCGGAAACTCTGTAAACAGAGAAGCCTTCTGACATGCGTGCTGAAGCATCTTCTTCTTATGTTAACAACAAGAATGCTGAAGCAAGTGTTTCTTCTAGCACTTGAAACGGATATTATTCTCAGCTTCCAGTGCTTCCAAAGGTATATTCTTTACTAAGCTGCAAAAAAGAGTGTTGTAGTTGGAAAGAATGCTCTGGGTACATGCATAAAAATCTCTCTTTCTGGATCAAATAATCTTCCTCTCAAATGCCATCTCTCTTATCTTTATTTTGGTTAGTCTTTCCAACCATTTATATTCTGCAAATAGTTAAAATTTGATGGCAGCAAAAGAGTATAAGTTGTAATTCCCAATCAGTGGTGAGGGAATGACCAAACAAGAGAACTATTTTCAGACGGAAACTGGGTTTTAACTGTTCACTACGCCAATTAGATAAGTTATACCTGACGTTATAGATGAAACAATCTTCCCTTTTTCCAGGAAACAATTTTTTCAAACAATGGAATTGTAACGTAGCTCTCGTGTAACTGCTATCCATGCACAAGCAAAATTTTGAGGAATTTAAAAATGACAACTTCGCGAGAAAACGAGTGCAGCATGCATTAAAGTTGTGAGAAAACGAGTGCAGCATCCCGTTAAAGTTATTTACATTAACAAGGCATTTCAACCAGAAGCAAGCTTCACGGCATGCAAGCTAGCAAGAGTGTCTCAACACTTTCCTACGGTAATTAGAAGCAATCTCCACTCCAGAAAAAGGAAACAACAAAAAGCCAAAACACAGAGACCAGAAATTTTGAATATTCACATTCTACGTGGAGATTCCTTCTCCACATGCATATTACCATATAAGCTATCCATCGACTGAACAACTAAGATATTATCAGCATTCTTGATAGCACGAAACACTACAACACCTAGAATGGATAAGAAATAAAGAAGTTCCTTGTTCACGGCTAGGTCCATTTCCTTCTCAATATCGGCTCTCTTGACTCAAAAACATGAAAGTTCTCGATTGCTAATACCCTTCCCACTAACAATTAAGCAGGATAATATTGACCCTCACCCCTCATGGAATTTCATAGATGTGAACAAAAGCAGACCTCTTAACAGACGGCAAGACAAATTGCTATGAAAAAACAAGACAATTTGATTGGCTAGAACATTTAGCAATCTTCAGAGTTTCGTCTACAAATTGAACATCGACCAGCTTCTTGAAAAGAGAGAGAAATGCCGCTGGCATGTCAATAATGGCCCAAACTGAATTGCGAGAAACTATAGATACAGAGAGCAACCTCCCTCCACAAATAATTTGACGAATTCAACTAGAAAGTTTTCTTAGGAGAAATGCAACTTCTAATTAAGGTTTTTGGATAAGACGAAAGCATACGAATGACCTCTTCAATGAAAGAAGAATCTTGAATCACAGTCTATGAGACAATTGTTGAGCTCTTCTCCACCTTTCTCTTTCAAGCTTCGGAATAGCTTGCTCAGATCGAGAGTGATTGAACAAGCTACATAGTTCAAATTTTAAAATTAAAGTCCTAAGATCAGGTAGGGAGTTATAGGAGAAAATAGATTATAATTCCTGCATTTTGCCTAAACTGACATTATTTTACTTGCTTTTCCACCTTTATTGGTTTAGCAAACAAACTACAAAAGTTTTCAAAATTAGTTGTCATATGACATTTCTAAACCAATGGTTTTTTGAACTTCTATCCAGTATTTGCTTTAAAGAAACGTGTCACAAACCACGAAAATAGCAAAGAGTAACACAAGTAATTGCCTTGATATAGTGCCGATAAAAAAAGAACAGACAATCGATCCTCATTATGGTATGAGGCCCCAAAAACCTAAAAACCTGAGCGAAACGAGGAAGGAAAAAACTTATGCTGCAATAAGTTGAGAAGAAATAGCAGCAAATTCCATAACTTCCGACATGCTAGCCAATTAGAATAGGGAAGCACCTCTTTTAAGAGTGATCTGCTTCAATCACAATATTCCTGGTTGGAGAGAAAGAATGCACAAAATGAAAGTTCTAGACTGGAGACAAATGGGTCATTCCAACTTCTTGGAATCCCCATAACCGCCAACTTCTAAAGGAAGTGCAGAAGTACTTAGAATTAGCATTTAATCCCACCATTGCCTCTCCTCCACTGTCAAGATTTTTTTCCTTCTTAAGTGGCAGAAAGAAGTGAGATTTAATTTATATCCAATTATGCCTTGCTTTAACTTATTTTTGTCATAACATCACAAATTAAAGCAAATTAAAGGACAACCTCCAGAAAAGGCCTCTGTGCATCCAAGCAAAAAAAAAATGTCTATATGATATAAGGTAAACCAAGCACCGCTTGAGTAACTTCACAAGCTTCAGATGGCAGCATAAGCAACTCTTTCAGCATATAAGGACAATATTAACCAGCCATGAACTTGCATGTATGTCCTACTGGTTCCATCTTGGTTCAAGGACTTACGATATCTGCAACCAGATTGCTAAAATCAAACCTCAAACACACAATAATATGTTGCTGCAGATGCATGTTACTACAAGAATTGGTAAGTTCCTATAAGAAAAGTGAAACTCGAGCATTAGCTTATGTGTTAGACTGCCCTATTGATTTGTTATCCTAGAATAAGTCAAAAAATAACTGCTTTAGCATTTGTTACAAAAATGACTCATTTATCATGTGCATAAGAGATGAGGCCCACGAGCTAAATAAATAGAGGAGGGTGACTGAGAAAGAGCATATTTAAATCAGCAACAACTCATGTGAAATCTTTATTGCTACTGACATATTCCAGTTAAGGAAACTAGTTACTAAAGACGATATAAATGTTAGAAAAACTATGCCATAATGAAGAGAAGAGAACAATGAAGGGAGAATCAACTAATACACAAGAGGAGGTTTATCTATAGACACATTGACTCACGTGCCTGTGCGCACGCATATATCAAGAGCAGTTGCTTCCAACTACAACTCTTTCCTTTTGCAGCCTAGAATAGAATGTACCTTTGGATGCATCCGAAGCTGAAGAACATTTTTTTGAGGTGCTAGAAGAAACCTTTGCTTCGCCATTCATTTCATTAACATAAGAAGAATTTGCTTCAGCACTCATATCAGAAGGATTGTCTTCAGTATCATCTGAATGTAGTAAAAAGAACCCTGGCATGCCGGAGTTTCCTTCTGATGAAGCCTTTCTCTTTTTGCTGCTCTGCTCACAAGAAAAAATTACCTTCATGTCATTTTACCAAACATCAATCAATGCCTTCTTCACAGCACTAATTAGTTCCTATTTTAAGCAGCTCGTGATGATCACTACACATAGATTTGAGATTCTTGAGAATTATGAGGTACTGGTGAAACAAAGCCAAATAATTATTAGAAGAGTTTTGGCTCATTCCTTGAAGTAACCTCATTCTATATATAAGATGTCACTATAAGGAACTCAAATGCTCCATAAGAAATGATGAAATTCAACAAAATCATGGTTTCTACAGAAAATACTGTGACTATATCTGCTCTAACTAAGTATGCAACAGTGCAATAACCATCTGCATTTGATCGGTAACATGAAATGTGATCAAACTCAAATAATTCAAATGATCAGAAATTTTTTATATTACTTTTCACCATAAATCTGATGCCTAGGCAGTAGTCATGCCACAGGAATGCACAAGATCTCATGCAATTGGTGCTGTATCTTCCTTCTCTGCCAAAAGAAGAAGACAGCCCCTATTCTATGCATGCATCAGAAATTGTTAAAGGCTCTTGCAAACACAAAATAATGCTCATCATTTTTGTCTTGATCATTAATAGACTTCTAGAGTCCAATATAATAGGCTGAAATGTGTGCATGTGCCATGTAAGGAAATAAGGTCTAGTGGCACAGTGGATCATTGGAAAAGTAGAGCTTTTGAGAAAACTAAATTTGACATGGGAGGGAGGCATGGAGCTGCATGCCCAAACTGGAATCCCTTTCAGTTATTTTAGCACAAGTACAGAAGAAATAGTCAGACAGATAACTTTGGGAGCACATCAACAAACGCATTCTTCGGTCATGATGTTTGACTCTGCATATTTAGAATAAATTCTGCATGCACGCCTTTGAAAAGGTAGTAAACCAAGGAACCTCCACATTTGATTTTTACCAGAAAGATAAACACCACTAAACAGTAACACATCCAGCATAATCCACATTTTGCACATTCTTTTCGATGTAATCAGTCATGCTCCGGTGCTAGGTTGAATATCTTTCCCGGCAGCTTAAGAGTATAAGAGGCCACCAGATAGGAAAAGTATTGCTACCACCAGGACAATGACATTTGAAAAGTCATCGCGATAAGTCCCCTCCACAGTTTGCCTATTCGTATACAAATACTGCCTGCGAAGACAAACAAAAGATAGTTACCTCAGCTAATCCTGAAAGTATGATGATTTTCTTATGATCTTCAACTTTCCGAGAACTTAAGATATGATTCTCCAATCCTGGAGGCATGAGATGTGCTCCCTGTCAACAGAGCAACCAGTTCAGGTCCAGCTATAGGAACTATATTACAGGTGCAAGAAGAAATGTCACTTTCAGCAAGCTAGTTTTATTGAGATTTTCAAGCCACCATTGCTTGTGTTAGAAACTCTCCCCCTGTTTAGTGAGTAAATATTAAGTATATTAATGTGAGACACCTGCCAGTAATGAACCAAGGCAGAGTTGCTTCAAGAAACCACTTCTTCTACCAAACCCCACTCTCAAAGGCCAGTATTCAATTTTCTATTTTCTAATCTTAGTGCTCGTGAGCCGAAGAACTTACTACTTGTGGGATTAAATCATCAGTGACAACCACAGGATTCAAAGTTGAGGAAAAAGTCGATGGATTCTGTTGATAGGGCAAAGGCATGAGATTTTGGGGGAGATGATCAGCTTTCTGCAAGAAGATCATGGTAAGAACTAAGAAGTACGTACAAACGTCAAGAGTCGATTGCCCTAATTAATTGGAGAAAAGGGATCTGATGATATTGCTTACTGTTGAAGGCCATTCTTTCAACCACATAAAATCGTCACCAAAGATCAATCCTGCATGCACAAATGCAGGCCAAAGTTTCTTACTGGAATTTGATTATATAAATCAGAAAATTCCAAAAGATATACAAGCTTCATTAGTTCGCAAAACTACTTGTAACCTTAGCATATTTAAAATGAAAGATTAGCAACTAGAAGTATGTTCTTGCGAGAGTTAGGAATCATCCTTTTGAAACTTATTGATACAAACCGTTCTTTCTTCCCTTTTTTCCCCTAGAAATAGACAACCCTATAAAGAATCCTCTATATATAATCTGAATATAATTCTAAGATCAAATTGGCTAATTCGTGCATCTGAGATTATGTCAATTATATAAATAGATCAACAATTATCCAATGATTTTTTAGATTGGCCATCTACTGAGTAGTGCAGAATTGAGCAGATGACTTCTGAACAATTTAACTGTCACTACCAACTATGAGAGGATTATGCAGTATCCATTGCTTAAATTCTATTAAAACCCCCGTCATAGAAGGATGTTCGAGAAGCATACTGGTATTAGTATCATTTGCTAAGTCCCTTGTCATTTCCATTTCCTCATTCATCACAGATTGTCTGGTCAGAGAAGCAGTTGTTTCTTGGGGAAAGGTCATCATCTGTAGAAATTTTCAGAAGACAATCAAATGGCGCAAATAAGAAAATGTCGTGTGGGATACAAATTATCGGACCAAGCTAAGAAACTGGATGAAGCATTACCATTGTGGGAGAACTTCCTGAGAAACTCCCATTATCTAGCTGGCTTGCCATGAACGTCTCATAGAATATCAACCACCATTCATACAGAAAACCCTCTGGGACATCTATCCCTGGGAATTATATAAATACCAATCCACTCATGATCACCATCAATGAAGCAGTAAATAATGGATTTGGTGGCAAACAGGAAACTAAGACCAAGATTTCTACTTCACTCAGCGACAAATTCTAATGATGTTTCCAAGCTAGAGGTTACTATTTTGTACAGCTTCGCTATGAACCAAGTCACCAATCACTAAGGAGTCGTCAACAGGGGCAACAACAAAGAAACATGACCGGGCATCATAGGAACAATTCGGCTAAAGAATGTCGATAATAATTATACAGAAGCAAAGGTATGGTATTTTGACAGAATCGCGAGGTCTTGCTATCTACAGAATACTTATCCCCCCACCAGGAACGATCGCAGGGTCACACTACAATTCTAAAGCCTACTTGAATGTGTATTACAGCTAAGTCGACACCCCCAAGTTCCTTTTCTCCGACTATATAATATAATCCGAACGGCTCATTTTCTCCGACGAGTGCCAACACGTGAAAAAGGACTCCGGTCAAAGGGCAGACTATATAATACATAAAACGTTTAAAAAAAAATATTACCTCCGGGAAGGGCGTTCTCAGAAGCCAGAGCAGCCTCCCTTCTGAAAATCTCTGGCGTTTCGTGCATGTTCTTCTTTATCATATAATCGTAAATATAGCGATCAAGCCTACAAAAAAACAAAAAAGAAATCGGAAAAAGAAAGAAGGAGAAGAAAGAATCCAAGTCAGAAACTCGACAGCACACGCTCGAAATCACCGATACATCGCAAAACCAGACACAGCACGGGCCGATCGACCGCGAGCGAGAGAGCGAGACGATCGAACCGAAACTCACATCGCGCGGCTGTCCCAACCGTTCATGGCGCTCGCCGGACGAAGGATTCGTGAACCGCCGAGCGGCAGCCGAGATGCACGGCGGGAGAGGAACCGAACAATCGGAGCGAGGAGGGGGAGATCGATCGCGCAATGCGGGAGGCCACGGAGCATTCTCGTGCGGGGGGGGGCGGGGCGGAGGAAAAGGCGAACGCCAACTCCAAGAGGAGGCGATGGAGTCCAATAAATGAACCTGCAAGTGCAACGTCGTGAAACCTGCAGGGGGGCGTTCGTTCGTAACAGAAATGACCGACAGGTGTAGGAATCGCGGAGGAGGAGGAGGAAACGGAAAGAAAACCTTGTCGCCTTCTTCCTCTCCGTCTCGCTGCGACGTGGAAAGCATTTGGTCAGCCGCAGGCGGGCGCGCGACTCGCTGCCATTGTTGCAGCCGCGAGAGGACGACGGCGAGCGCAGAGACTGAAGAAGAAGAGAGAGAGAGAGAGAGAGAGAGGAGGGGGGGGGGTTACTGGCGCGAAAAGGAGTCGCGAGTGACGGGTCGCCGCCGTCGAGCGAGTTACACGTGGAGGAACGGGACGCCGGCGGTAGAGCGGGGTTTCCTGCGGTGCGAGACTGTGCGCTCCTTCCGCAAGAGCCGTTGGATCGAATGACCCCCGTGCGGGACCCGCATCGTTGGACGGCTGACGTGCGCCATGCGAGCGCTGAGCGTGCGTGTGTCCTGCACATATAATAATTACTCGAGTAATGGAGGGGAAAATTAGAAAAGTGACTGGACGTTTTAGATTCCTTTACTATTTTAGCGAAATAAAGTAGAGTGAATAGAAAAGGAAGAACTGAAATGAAATAAAACGGCAGATGAAAAAGTAATTGGACATTATAATTTCCTCCTTCTTATTGTTTTGGCCGTGTTTTATTTGGATATGAAATAACGTGGAGGAAACTAGAATAAGTCACAAATGAAAGTGTATTTCGTCTTATTTATACTTAGGGAAAATACAAACAGTTCCTAAACTTTGACCCAATGTGCAATGTAATCCATGAACTTTTAATTTGTTCGATGCGGTCCATGAACTTTAACTCAATGTGCAACGTGGCCTCTGAACTTTTAGTTTATTTAATGTCATCCCTAAATTCCTGGACTGTATGAAAATGCTCGATGTTATCCTTCCATTAATTCAAGTTTAGGGACTACATTAAACATTTTCATATAATTCATAGACTACATTAAACATGTATCAAAAGTTCAGGGATCACATTCGATAAATTAAAATTTTAAGGACCAAATTGAACATTAGGCTAAAGTTCAGAGATTACATTGAACAATTTAAAAGTTTAGGGACCACATTGCACATTTAACCGAAGTTCAGAGACTGTTTTTGTCATTATCTCTTATATATACATGTGAGGTACATGCTAAACATTAACCATTGGTGCCAAAGAAATAGGCAAGCATCAACAATCCGACGCAAACAAATAATTAATAGTGATAAAAAAAGTTTCCTTTTTCATTTTTTGAATGAGAAATAAGATATAGATATGGAATAATAGCATAGGCACAATTTATGTTTAGCATGTAGCACGAGACATTGGAATTTGAAGTTTCGAGTCCCTAGATTTTTGCAAACTTATGTCGCTAAATTACAACGCCCTGAGTTCGTATTTTAAGTATGAGTAGTTTGCTGGATGACCATTTCTTTATAATAATAATAGATCTAGATTCTATGGTCGCAAATGATTTATTATACCGAATCGTCATATCATACATCTAATAAGAAAACTTATTTTTATATTTAAAGCTTCGCGAACTATTAAAATAATATTCATTAGGGAGTGGGGCGACCGGTGAGGGCTTATGACTTCCATGGAAAAATTATTTGATTTCAGCTAAAATCGAGAATGACATATATTTGATGGAAAGAAAAAAATCACGAGTTTATTAAAAGTATAGTGTTGACTAGAACATGATCCTTCGTTAAATATGCAACATGACTTGACACAAATGTCTATCTTATACAATTTAAAGGAGTTATTTCACCCCGTTAGTAAGAATATCTCCCTTGAGTTAGAATTTATTTTTAAATAGCCTATGTTAATAAAGAGAAATCTTTTTATGGATAAAATCAATAGACATTTTAACATTAACTAAAAAAATCAACAATCTTATTTACTAAATTATTCATCTTTCTTTTTCCTTTCTCCCTTGATCGCAATAAAAGTAAGCTCATTTAATAAATTAGATAAATTTTAAGATTCATTACCATACAATTTATTAAGATAGAAAAACAAAGAAATTAGATTAAGTAAATGGGTATGAGCAACGTGGTTACATAGAGCAATAACGTGGTTATATTATATAACCACATTATTTTTTTTTGTGATAAATATGGAGAGGACTTGTATCATCTTTCGTTACATCGATTGGAGCGAGCAAATTCCCCATGAAATCCACCATTGCACCGCGATAAGTTACCTAATTTAAATTTTCCCGTTAAATGCATGCATGTCAACCTACTTAAACTTTCTAACTTTGGATCTGTTATTCTTCACGTCACACGTGTATTGTGTGTAGGGGCAAGCACCGGTCTCAGTCCAACTCGGGAATCGAACCGATAGGTTCTGAGCGATTCTCACAAGGTCTAGTCGAGTTTCTGATTCCCAAGATTCAGAATCAATTGCCCTAAAAGAATATTTTGGGCTTAAGCGAGTATATAGTGATTCCTCTTCAGTTCTTCATCAAGCAAGTCTCAAGTCTCTCATCAATTCTCCATCTCGCTCGCAGCTCAAGCTCGAGCTCTCACCTCCCTCTCTCACGCTTGCCGCTCGTCGCTTAGTCTGGGGCTCTCACCTCCCTATCTCATGCTCGACACTTAGGCTGGTGCTCGATGCTTAGTTCTCGCGATCGTCTCCCTTGCTCATCACCATAGGAAGCCCATGTTCTTTGCACACGAAAAAACAAGGTAAATTTCTTAGTTTATCGAGCTCATCCTTTCCTTTTGTTTCTGCTTGCACCGGCATATCTCTTCTTCTAGGGTTTGAATTAAACCGAGGACGGACTATCTGGGCTGAGGCTGGGGCTGTTGTCTGGATCGGAGGGCTTGCGAAGGTTAGGGTCGTTGGGTTTGGAGGAGAAGAAGGAAGCGAGAGCAAAGAAATGTAGCTAATGCTGCAATTCTTCAATACCACCGAAAAATTTCCTACGGAAGTAAGATCAGTCGCAACGTGCAAGTGCCATAGGCCAAGAACCTGTGCCATGTACCAAGAGAAACAAATAGAAAATATTACAGCCGGTCCCGGTCCAACCCGGTCCAACCGAACCTGGACCGGTCCGGTTCTTAGGTGGTCGGTTCCTGGTTTTTAAAACCGAACTCGACGTATCAGAGTTCGATCCGTACTCCACAATCATATCCCTTCTTCCCTCGCTTCCCTCTCGTCATTGCAGCCTGCACCGCGCGGGTTCTGCTTCCGATCAAACCCTAATCCAGAGCAGCCGATCCCGAAATCCAGAGAGGGGGAGAGAGAGAGAGAGGGAGGGAGACGGAGTAGCGCCGCCGAATCCGCGCTTGCTCGGAGACGAAACCCTAGACCTTCTCAGGCTTCCATGGCGCACCGGTTGCTGAGGGATGCGGAGGCCGACGGATGGGAACGCTCCGATTTCCCCATCATCTGCGAGTCCTGCCTCGGCGACAACCCTTACGTTCGCATGGTACGATCTCCTTCTTCTCTCCTCGCCCCATGGATCCGTTCTCTCGGTTATTGCGTGGCCTGGAATGGTTTTGCCTTTCTTTCTTTTTCATTTTACCCGTTTCTTTCGAGAACGAGGGTTTCTTGTTCGATGGGTTGTGATTGTAGTTGTCAATTCGAGGTTTCGCCCCCCTTTTAGTTCTGGTTTTCTTGAGACGATGATGGCTTGGATCACTGATTCGGGATGCATCGCTCTCGCGTGGCCTGTAACGTCTCTTTGCGAGCTCAAAATCTTGTCAGCCATGTTCTTTGTATGCTGCATAGTTTGCTTCTACGTACTTTATGTTCTAGCTCATTAACCATCTGTCATCAGTCTGTTACCCGCGTCATGTCGACGCTTAATTGCAGCTCGTCCTGCAATTTCCCCTTTTTAAGGTTCCTTGGCTGTCGGGTTAACTTGTCTGTAATGTTATGCTATGATTTGTTATCATCTGACCTATCTTTCTCTTTGTGCTGTTGGGCATATGTACTTGAATGCAGACAAAGGCACAGTACGATAAGGAGTGCAAAATCTGCCAGCGTCCATTTACTGTTTTCAGGTGGAGACCAGGTCGCGATGCAAGATACAAGAAAACTGAGATTTGCCAGACTTGCTGTAAGTTGAAAAATGTCTGTCAAGTCTGCCTTTTGGATCTTGAATATGGGTTGCCAGTTCAGGTTCGAGATACTGCTTTATCCATTAGCTCACATGACGCCATTCCCAAGAGTGATGTTAATAGGGAGTACTTTGCAGAGGAGCACGATCGAAAGGTACTCTCTTTCTCTCTAATTCCACATCGGTCCTTGCTTGCACAGTCGCACCTCAGGTTTTCATGTACATCATATGCAATCTCATTACTTTAGAGAATACTGGAAGCAGTGAGGCCGCTAAGAGCTATAGCTACAAATTTATCACAGTATGTGATGATTACTTTCAGACATTCATAGGTTCGTGTAAATATTCAGTTAAGGGGAGTTTCTTAAGCCAAATGTACCTGATATAAGATGATGCTGGTGAGAGATTTTATGCTTGAATGAATTTTGTCATATTGTTTATCAAATGGATACATGGTTGCATTAGGGATGGCGCAGTATTTACGTGCTCTGACCAATACAGGAGTATTTGGATAAGAATTTTTTCTCTGATCGTCGCAGTTGTTTATGATTGGCATAGAAACTTGATTAGCATGTCCATCTTTAGTTAGTTAGAGCTATGCCGAGTTGCTTCATAGGATAAGCATGATCCTGTTGCAGGTGTGAGAAGTTTCACTGTTAAACGATATGTTTCACGTTGTTCATTGAAAGGATTGTGCTAGCCGATGGGTCGGATGGATAGCGTTACATTCATAGGCTTCAACCGATACTGAGGAGGTCTTTGGATGATTTTGTTTTGCTAGTCGTTGCACGTGTCTATGATTATTACACAACCCTGATATGATACCCATCTTTATCACGTAGGTTGCACTGTGTACTTGTTCCATATGCTCATTATTCTTCTTGATCATTTGCGGTGGAATTTTGTATTAGACGCTAAATCATGAAGTAATTTGATACGGAGATTCATGGTAAGTCTTCCCAGCAGTTCAGTATTCTCACGAAACTTGTTACCATTACTGTGCAGACTAGGGCTGGATTGGATTATGAATCCTCATATGGTAAGGTTCGGCCTAATGATACTATTCTGAAACTTCAAAGAACAACGCCGTATTACAAAAGAAACAGAGCACATGTTTGCAGCTTCTACATTAGGGGGGAGTGTACCAGAGGTGCTGAATGTCCATATAGGCATGAAATGCCAGTAACTGGGGAGTTGTCTCAGCAAAATATAAAAGATCGTTACTATGGGTATGTTTCCTGTCTTGCATTGCATTTATTGTGCAAAACCTCTCTAATCAGTCCCTCTCCATGCATATCCATGTTCTTGCCCTTGGGCGAGCTCTTTTCATGATTTCCTGGTTTCTTAATTTCAAGTTGTATGGGTGCAATATAAAGCCTCTTTGCAAGTGAAGTATGTTACAAAAATATGCTCATGCATTTGAGAATTTAGTGTTTTGTTTGGGAAGGAGGGAGAGGTGAGGAATATGGGTAGTGGGTGAAGAAAATGGGAGAATTTTAAAATTTCTGTGAGAAGAAAGAGGGGAAATTTTGAACACTTTCATCCCCTTCCCCATTTTTGCTCCTCCCAAACATAGCATAAAACCGGTGAAGACATCCAGTTTTTCGCAATCATTCATTGTTCGATATTACTTTGATCTTCTTTTCGTGATATTCATCTTTTCATCTGCTTGGGTGTGTGGTATGGTGTTATCTCCCTTACCAAAGCCACATAACTCATGCATTTTTTTTTGCAAAATCTGATTAATTTTGGTTTAAGTATTGACCTAGCTGTTAGTTGAGAATTTAGATGTTAGTCCACCAAAGTTTTCCATCTCTTCTGCATTTTTGAATGAGCTCATTATAGGAAAACTGGGCAAGTTCATCTCATGGTTTACGTTTAAATTGTTTTATCTTTTGCTTTACGAAGTCTGATTAGTTCTACGTTCTCTGGAGACTTAATTGGAGAGTTTTCTCTCTTCTCTTCTTTTATTGTGATGTTATTTTTTGGGAGGGTTTTGGAAATATTTTGTTGATTTATGGTCCTCAAGTATGTTCTACTGTCATATTATGGGTATTACTCTTTAAGATTTAAGTTTTACGCAGCAAATTAAGATGATGACGGATGCAAGGGGGCTGTATACTGATTCCTAGTGTAGTCTCATTAGCTAGGTCTGCTTGAATTGAAATATTGGCAAGGTTTTGTTACCTCTGGCTGGAGCTTGTCATCCCTTCCATTTTTCGTTGTTGATAATGTCAGCTAGAATCCTCTGTTAGGTTGAATTTTATCAGAGGAATTTACTCTGCATTTTCGTGTAATTTTGAGGTAATGCTTGACCTGACCAGCTAGATGATTATGTGGTCTACTCAAATCTCTTGATGAGCGTAACCACAGGCTGATAGGAATAATGAAGGTGTTTTGTTAATTGGCCTTAATAGGGAGTACCACAATTTGGTTAATATTGTCGTTAAGTATATAACATCTATTATCTCTTCCTCTGTCAATGTCAGCGCCATCCAGTAGATTCTCTTTGCGAATGTCTTTCTTTTTTCGTTCACATTGTTAACGTGTACACATTAAAAACATCTTATACTTGCTTCATAGGCATATATGTCAGGATTTGGATGCTTATATTTATGGGTTTTTGCTTAAATATTTCCAGAGTAAACGATCCAGTGGCTCTAAAGTTGCTCAACAAGGCTGGGGAGATGCCCTCATTGGAGCCCCCTGACGATGAGAGCATCAGAACACTGTACGTGGGTGGCCTCGATGCAAGGGTATCCGAGCAGGATTTGAAGGATAATTTCTATGCTCACGGTGAAATTGAATCTATTAGGATGGTGCTACAACGAGCATGCGCTTTTGTGACATATACAACCAGGGAAGGTGCAGAAAAAGCTGCAGAGGAGCTCTCTAATAAACTGGTGATAAAGGGGTTAAGGCTGAAGCTGATGTGGGGTAGACCTCAAGCCCCAAAACCAGAAACTGAAGGTTCGGAAGTTGCACGGCAGCAGGCAGCCGTCACTCATAGTGGGCTGCTACCAAGGGCAGTTATATCTCAGCAACAGAGCCAAATGCAAGTGCCTGGTTCTCAAGACCAGGGCCCTGCAATGCACTACTACAACATGCTACCGCCTCCTCAGCCGGAGAGAACCTTCTATCCCTCCATGGACCCCCAAAGGATGGGTGCGATTGTTCCTGCCCAGGATGGGTCTTCCAGTGGGCCCTCAGGGTCCAGTGAGAACAGGCCACCTTCGGAGCAGCAGCAACAGGGGCAGCATTATGCTTACCCCGCAGTGGCCCCACCTCATGGGCAATATTATTCCCATTATTACCCTCCTTATGGTTATATGATGCCCCCGCCTCCTTATCAACAGTACCAACCGCCGAACCAATCGACGGTGCCTCCGCCGCATCCCTCTCCGGCAACTCAGCAGTATCAGCAGCATCCTGTGCAATCTGGATCGGCACCCTCGAGTTCAGCACCTGTTCCACCACCAGCACCGCCATCTTCGGGGTCTACACCTGGGGGTTCTGCTCCACCAGCGTCTTCTTAGTAATTTACTGTTGATTTTCGGCTGGAATTGTATAACATGCTTTTCATTTCTCCTCTGCTAAGTTATGGTTGACAGTCGTTTTGGTTGTAAGGCCTTTTGCAATCTGGTCCTTAGAAGGCTAATAATTGTAATGCGCCTAATTCTTGAGCTTTTCGATTATAAAGACCGGTTCATTTTGTGACTTAGAGCTAGTTGAACTTTGAATGTTACATGGCTGCACTCTTGTCATAAATTGCTTTGAAGTGCTCTTCAAAGCTGGGTTAGTCAATACAGTGATGGGAGGGAGAGATTCTTAGGAAGGCAGAAGAAGCAGAGGCTGGATTTACTTTGCTTCCTTTGGGTTTGGGTTTTGGCTCTTCTATGGGGAAAATTATTGTACGTGTCGGTCACAGAAATGACGTGGTGTGATCGGCTAAGGACGTTGTGTGCGTGCTGTGCTTGTTATCCTCCGTGTCGTTTGAATTGTGGAATCAATCACTTCAGGTAACCGTCTGAGCAATAAATATCTTCATCTGTTGCTATTTATCTTGGGTGGGTGGACGGAACGTGACTGGGTTCCGGGAGAAGTCTAGACTACATTCGCGGACCATCTCTTAAGATCGCTTGATCGGAGCATGTTACCATATCAAACCATATATGACCACATAGGCATGCGTATAAATTGTATATCGAACATTGCCGTTTGTGCACCAACTTTGTGTCGAGTGCATTTTTCGCACATGTGGTCAAAAAGAGATGTTTTCTTGATTTGAGTGCTTTTTGTGACCATGTATTTGTAGTTAGCAGTAATCAACTCGATCGGATCGGTGCTCGATTTCTCTTGTCCGATTGCAAGCTAATGGCAATGGACTGTGTAATGTAGGGCAAAGAAAAGCTGTTGAGCTGTCGCGATTTTAACCCTTTTTTTTTGTCTCTGGCTTCCAATTCCATTAGATGTTTCGGTGTACATGGATAGCTTAGGATAGGTCCTACTATCGTAGATTTCACCCTCTTGTACTTCGATGTCTCTTGCGGATGGTCCCGATGCAACCTATCGTTTTCGGCAAATCTCCACGGCGTGGTCCAGGGGAGTTCGCTCGAAATAGGATGAGTGGGGGTAATGATCCTTCTTCTCAACTTAACAGACAAGGATGGACTCCCCCAGCATGTCAACTGTGGAGTATGATGCAATGAGGGAGGATGAAAGTGTGAGATGCTGAATAGGAAACTCGGGGATCTCGTTCCCTTCCGTTTTGGCCCACGCGTCCAAGTTATGAAGAAGGTGGGGATCGACAGAGGTGGTGGTGCCGCCGTGGCGAACGACAAGTCTACGGTGAAGAATGCTTGAGAAGTAATTATTCTTCGGAATCACCTTTAATCAAATTGGCCCTAAAAATGGAATCCAACATCCTTTACGGGCAACACGTGTTTGTTATTGGTGTCTCGTCCGCAATCTTCTTTGAAGGGAAATATGAGATTGAGATTGGGAGATTTAGGAAAGTGGCATTGAAAAGGAGTGGAGGTGGTAGAGGAAGTTGGCCAATGTCTAGATGCATTGACGAATTTCATTTCTTTATGCAACGTAGTAATGAACTATTAATATGATGAATAGCTTTAGTAAAAAGGGGGAAATAAAATATTTATAATAATTTTCTCTTTCGGGCACTCGCCAAAAAAAAGAAAGAAAGAAGGAAAGACGTACAATTTTGGAATTTGGAAGTAGTGCAGCAATGATGTTAGTGTAACCGCCTATAGTGGGCTAACCCGTGGAAAGAACGGTTTCAACTGACACGTATTTTTACCGTAAAACTCATGGCAATATATTACATCTTTACTTTATTGAAGGGCTATTATAGTCATTTAGGGGATGAACGTCAATTTTGAAAGTACCCATACATATTCAAATAAATATGCATATAAATAAATAAATAAATAGAGCGTGTGTTTAGTATGATTTTTCTTGTAGTTATTACAGCTGTGAAATATGGTGCTTTGACTTTTCGAGGCATTTTATAAAAATCTTATAGCGGCACCCTTACAGCTGAAGTACTTTCACAACGATTTCCACATAGGCGCCTCTAGTAGCTTTAATTTTTTTTATAGATTTTATTTTATCGGGACAGAATTATCCTTACAAAAACCTACCTTTTTTTTTTTTTCTCTTGTCATCAAATTACATTTCTTATTGCCTCTTTACTTCTTATTCAACCCCACATCATATAAGATAATTTAATGATAGCAATAGCAATAAAACTAAGAAATATCAAACAATGACAGCAACAACAATTTTTATTATTGTCATTATTATTATTGTATGGTGAAAAAGGCATGCTAAAAAAGTTCCTAACAATCCCACAAGTGAACATGACACCATGGAAAACTAGGGGTGATTGATTTCCATTCTGATCCGATCTTGTTAGATGGAACAAGTTATTTAGGGTTTAATTCATATTTGAAAAAATAAAAAATATATATAATCGGTTCAGTTCAGTCGGGTTCTCCTTGAAATCGAGAATTGGAGCGCTTTTATGAACCGAAAACCGGACCAACACTCCTGAAAATCAGACTGAACAAGCTAGTTTGGTTCAGTTTGGGTGATTTTCGATTTGGACAGTCCATTTTGCACATCTCAGAAAAACAATGGACACGAGAAAAAAAGGGCAAAAAATAAAAAAGAAAAAAAGAGAAAAATTGAAGCGGATTTAAAAGTGGGATTTCACGTCCGCAACTCTAGAAACTTCTGTCCGACCCTTCCGCATATAAAACCGCCCGCGCGGTTCGCGAACGTTCCATTGCCATTGCCGTGTCCGCATTCGCAATCTTCCTGTTCGATCGATCATATACTCGCCGCGGAGGAGCTCCGATCCGTCGTGTCGCCGCCGCCGCCGCCGCCGAAACGGTGAGCCTCTCGATTTCGCGTTTGAATTTCATCTTCATTTCGGGGTCGTCCGTAGCGCATCTCCCATCCGTACGTCCGTCGTCGAGGCGGAAACGATCGGTTTCGATGAGTTTGAGCGTTGGTTGTTGGATTCTGGGCAAGAGACGCGATGGATCGTGGTTCTTTCTGGCTTTCTTTTCCCTGGTTTTTTCCCCCCGGTGTTTGGGTAGGGTGACTTGCGCAGTGAAATGCGGGTTATGCAGTTTGAATGTTTTCTGGGTGTGTTGATTGATGTGCTGGGCCTAATTGAGAGAAGCGTGTTCTCCAAATTTGCTTGGACCGTGCGGTTTTTGAGCTAGTTTGCCGGATTTTGGTTGCTTGATATTTGGAGTAGTGGGTTTGAGATTCCTGTGTCCTTGCCACTAGTAGCTGGAAAATCATACGATGGTTAGTTCGACCTTCTGATTGATTTGGGTTAGAACATCTTGTGATTCTTTGTCGTGGTAAGTATCTTAAAAAATGGGGAGGGAAAGGACCATATAAATATATTCATTTAAAGGGCATGAGAGGTTGCCTGCCCTTGTGAAATTGAGAGAGAGAGAGAGAGAGAGAGAGAGGATCTCCTGTTGTTGCTTGGATCTAAGGGAAGGGACTTTGTAGCTTGCTTCTAGTGTGGAATTGCTCATGTTCGATGGAAGGTTTAGGTGCTTGATGTTGAGAAGGATGGTTTTCAGCTTTGTTGTGGGGTACGCGATTACTCTTTGTTGAACCGACTTATGAAACCATATCTGTTATGTGATCAACCATTTGCAGACTACCGTCTTGAGAATGGACGTCAATTGCTCGAAAATCATTGTTGTAAGGCATTTGAGATAAATTGCTGTACTGGTTATCTGCTCTGTTTTTCTCTAGCTTTTCTTCGTCTTTTTTGGGCATTGTAATGACATATTTACACTTATATCATGGTTGATGGCATTGTGGATATGAAATTTACCATGTGGGTCTTCTTTTCAGTCTTACCAGATGTCTTACTCCAGAAGGTCCGATTATTCTTGCTCTCCTCCTGCTCGCCGGAGGTATGGTAGGTCACTCTCTAGGTCGAGGTCGGTGTCAAGGAGCAGATCAAGGTAAACTTTAAATGATAATACTTCGTTTTTGATATCATTTGGTGCGTTGTTTTTTAATGCTGATGTAAGCCTCCCATATTGGATAACAGGAGTGCTTCAAGTGATGTTGAGAACCCTGGCAACAATTTGTATGTAACGGGATTGTCCCCCCGGATTACAAAGAGGGAACTGGAAAAGCATTTTGCGAGCGAGGGAAAGGTGGACCCAAGTTGAATCTTGATCTGTGTCTTGTATCAATTTTTTTTGGAGCTCCTGTAAACCTCTCTTACCGTTAGTTATTGATGTGTAGGTGGTGGATGTGCATCTCGTGGTTGACCCGTGGACAAGGGAATCTCGTGGTTTTGGGTTCGTAACTATGTCAACCGTTGAGGAGGCTGAGCGGTGCATCAAGTATTTAGATCGATCTGTGCTTGAAGGTCGTGTAATTACTGTTGAAAAGGTATGCTTTCAGCACTTGTTTTCTTTCGAAAGTTATCTTTTTTTTTTTTCCCTGATGGAGGTCTTGTTGCTAAGATTGCGCATATATTACATTGCTATAAGTTTTTTTGAAAGTTGCTTCTTTCCACTTGAAGTTTTTGTGGCAGCAGGTTAGCTGTGTGTAGCAGCTCTTCATCAAATCCCAAAAACAACTAAACAAACAAATCAAACACACGAAGTATCAGATCGCTGGGGTTGTATGCCCTGCATTTCTCTTTTTCTTTCTGCCTATTGAATTTAGATATCTTGCTTGTGTCATTCAATTATGGCTACATCATGAACGCATAACTCTGTGTACTTACTTTCTTGCCTTTGTTTTCTTGTTTGTTTAGGTAACTGACGATTTGGATTTGTGATGACAGGCTAGGAGGAGGAGGGGAAGAACTCCTACTCCCGGAAGGTATCTGGGGTTGAAGACTGTTCGAGGTCAGATGGTTTTTATTGTTATTCCGATTTTAGACTATTTCCTGTCGATTTTCCACTAACTGTTGCTTCTAACGTTTATTAGTGCGCCAGCGCACTACCAGTTACTCCCCCCGTCGGACTCCAAGCTATTCTCCTTATAGTAGGAGCAGGTCTCCTCGTTATTCATCTGACTGCAGCAGGGGCAGGTCCTACTCCCCTCACCACAGGAGGCGCGGATCCTACTCTCCTTACTATGATCGGCGAAGGGCTTATTCTCCTGATTATAGTCGACGAAGATCATACTCTAGATCCCGTACCCCTGACAGCAGGTTGCCAGTGTATCGGCGTGATAGGTCCTACTCTCCATATGATTCGAGGGACTACTCACCAGATGATCGCTATCTCAGAAGGAGCCGTTATCGATCTATTTCTAGAAGTGTTTCACCAGGAAGAGGAAGAAACTCTAGGAGCAGCTATTCCCCGAGGCTGAGGAGGAGGAGATACTCCCCTAGCGAATCTCCAAAACCTAGGAGAAGGCCAAGGAAGAGTTACTCTCGTAGCACCTCAAGAAGCCCAATGAGGAGTTCTAAGCGGAGCTACTCATCCAGGCGCGGGTATTCGAGGGATAGCTATTCTTCTGGGAGTGTGTCTCGGAGCCACAGTGTTGGTGCAAGTTCTAGAGCAGTATCAAGGTCTAATACGCCAAGTTCATCATCACCTTCAGCTTAACCAGTGTTTTTATGGAGGGGGATTTGTGATTGCTTGTAAGTTGTCTGGGTTGTCAATGCTTGGGCTAGTGCTGGGCATTTCGAACCGGTATATGGTAGTTCCGGATTTTGTGTAGCTCTCCTCGACGAGAGGCAAACTCTCTTCTTTGGTTGATGTTTACTATTAATTCTGCTCCACTGAATCCCCTGTTTCAAGGTCATATTTTTTGAAACTTTTTTACTGTTTACATGAATCCGATGAAAGCAGCCAAGAAAATATTGTATACAACTCTAATGCCTAGTCATCTTTACAAGAGTTCATTCATTGAGTGACACATGTTACTGTGGCCCATCTATCATAAATACCCGTCTCTCTCCCCCGCAGTCAGACTCTGATTTTCTCTCACCACAAGCACGACTCCTCTCTCTCCTTCTCAACCATAATCATGGCTTCCAACGCGAGCTGCTCGACCGCCCCGCTTGCGCCGCTCTTCGGCCCCAACGCCACTGACGCCATGGCTGTCGCCTCTTGCGTTTGCGATCATCTCTCCTCCTTCGCCGGCCGCCTCTCCGACACCCCCTACACTGTCGACACCACGTACCTCCTCTTCTCCGCCTACCTCGGCTGCTCCATGCAGCTCGGCTTCGCCATGATCTGCGCCGTTTCCGTCCGCGCCATGAACACCATGAACACCATGCTCACCAAGGTCCTCAACGCCGCCGTCGGCGGCCTCTTCTACTACCTCTTCGGCTTCGCCTTCGCCTTCGGCTCCCCCTCCAATGGCTTCATCGGCCTCAAGAAAGTCCCCCCTCCCCCACCGTCGACTACAGCAACTTCCTTTGCGACGGCGTAGGAGGTGTCAGAGAGGCGGCCGGCGACGGAGGAGAGCTGGTCGCAAATGTACGAGGCGGCGTTCGTGGGTGTTTTAAAAGAAAATATATCAGAGTGAATGGGAAAGGAGAGAGAGAGGACCACTTTTACTCTGCATTTATGATGGGTGGGTTATTGAGTGACATGTCACTTAATGAATGGACTCTTGTAATGATAACGTGGCATCAGAGTTGTATTCAATATTTTCTAAGCCATCTTTGTGATTTAGGCTGCGCATGAACAACGATTCTGTGCCCGGGAACAGATTCTGCTCAGAAATAATTTTTTTTAATTCTATGCCCGGAATTAATTCTGAGCATTTTAAGGCATTTGTTAACGGCCCAAAATTCCATCCCTGGAATAGAAAAAGAACAGAAATGCGTTTGGTAACGCCACAAAATTTCTTTTTATTAATAATATTTTTAAATATTTTAATATTTCTTTCTTTTTTTTCTTTTCCTCCTTCTTGGCCATAGCCTGCTCGCCGGCCATGACTGATAAAATATTTTTTTATTAATAATATTTTTATTAAAAGTATTTTTTCTTTTTTTTTGCCATGGCCTGATCGCCGGCCATTACCGGTAAAATATTTTTTTTATTAATAATATTTTTTATTAAAATATTAAAAATATATATTTTTATTTTTTTTTTGCCATGGCCTGGTTGCCGGCCATGGTCGGTAAAATAATTTTTTTATTAAAAATATACATTTTTATTTTTTTGGGCCATGGCTTGGTCGCCGGCCATGGCTGGTAAAATATTTTTTTTATTAATAATATTTTTATTAAAAATATATATTTTTATTTTTTTTGGCCATGGCCTGGTCGCCGGCCATGGCTGGTAAAATATTTTTTTTATTAAAATATTTTTATTAAAAATATATATTTTTATTTTTTTTGGCCATGGCCTGATCGTCGGCCATGGCCTGTAAAATATTTTTTTTATTAATAATTTTTTTAAAAAATATTTTTATTAAAAATATACATTTTTATTTTTTTTTGCCATGGCCTGGTCGCTAGCCATGGCTGGTAAAATATTTTTTTATTAATAATATTTTTATTAAAAATATATATTTTTTCTTTTTTTTACCATGGCCTGATCACTGGCCATGACAGGTAAAATATTTTTTTTATTAAAATATTTTTATTAAAAATATATATATTTTTTTATGGCCATGGCCTGGTCGCTGGCCATGGCCGGTAAAATATTTTTTATTAAAATATTTTATTCTCGTCAGATCCGGCGAGTGGCGGTCCTCGGGCCGGACATTTGAAGCTAAATGAAAAACCAAGAAAAGGAAGAAGAAAAAAAATTGATTCTCAAAATTGTTCCCAGAATCAAGAAGCTACTTTTTTTTTATTCTTGATTCTGCTCCAAAACTGATTCTGGGAACAATTTTTGACAAAATTGTGCCTAGAATCAAAAAATTAAACAAACGCATTTCTGTTTCCAAACTGATTCTGGGAACAAAAGAACAGAATCAAACACCGTTTGGCAAGTTGTCATGCGCAGCCTTAGTCGACTTTGTCGTTCTAGTGCAGAAACCACTTTTCCATGCCCTGTCAGCATGGTCCAACATCGACCTGTCCTGGTGATGATGCGAGGGTCAAGTGGGTCTCGCCGGAACCGCATGTTTGAACCCGATGATCAAATAGAACCTTGTCGCATTAGCTAGTTGATGTTGTAATTAAGAGCATGAACTTTCCAAATCGATGGAATCAGATGAACTTTCCATCGCCAAAGGGAAAGAAGTCCGATCTCAATGTCCAACTCACTCGCGGTTTAAAAAGTAAGATGAGGTTCTTTGCCAGCGTACCCGAAGGGAAGCTACTCCAACCTCAACGCATCGGCATTTTAAAAGTAATAGAAAGGTTCTTTGCTAGTGAATTGATATGCAAAATCATTTGGTGTGTTTAACTTCTGAGCTCCATAGTGATTGAAGGCGATGTACGACTACATCGTGCACATTACCAATGAACTAATCCTGCGGATTGCAACAGCCTTTTTTGCACTCTACATTTATTAGATAAAGCCGCTGTATGAAACCAAGAGCAGCAGTTGCCATCCTTGCCGTGTTCGGGATTTACTCAGCTTCTTCAAATCCAGAATCCAGAACTCTCTAGTCCTCTTAGACAAATCCAAAGATTCAAAAGAAGTTGAACAAAACGTGTGAAGGGAGTGGCCAGTGGTCACTCTGCTTTACGAGTTCTGTGTAATGAAGTTTACTCATTCATAGGGGTAAAAGAAGGGAAGTTGGGCAAAAACCAATATTCACACATTTGAGCAAAAGACTATACATATGGAAGCTCGGTTATGCAGATGCAAATTTATAGCTTTCACCCTCTGCAATGCCGAATGACGTACGGCGATGATTCTCCACATCCCTAACAGGATAATTTGCAGAATAACGTACAGCAGAAGGCAAAGGGGAGGAAGCTCTTTCCCTGTACTCTTTTCGAACTTCCCATAGCACCTCAGCGCACTTCCGCATGGATGGCCTTGTCTCTTTTGTGGAAGCAAGGCACTGTCGAGCCAGTTTAAGGATGTTCTCCAGAGCCATGATGGATGCCGGACTTCTCCGCATTCGCCAGTCCATGACAAGAACTGCATCTCCCCCTTTTAGTTTCTGCATTGCCTGCATATATATGTACATCAGATGCGACCAGATCAGGCGTAGAAGCTTCTCTTGCAACTGAATAAAACGGCTCATTTTTTTTCCTCGGATGTTCATCTCCTATATTAATATTAAGTCATAGACTCTTTACTTGGTCTTCCTCACATAATTAGATCGTCTTTCCAACAGAAGTTTGAATGACCAGAGCAATGCTCACCCAAAGTCTGCTTACACGTCATGGTCCTTTGACTTCCCTTAAAGGTGATTGTTCAGTTTTCGCTTCATTGATGAAGGATATGAAACAATGCGTCTCTACTTGTGTCTTATGAAGGTATAAAAGTGAAGGATTCATCATAATATTTTCCGCTTACTAAACTCATGAGTCATAAATGACTTACTTGCGTCGATTTCATTCGCATTAAAACATAGGAACTGGTTATGGTTTTCGTACTGCATATGGATTACTATATCCTGATGCAACTTCTCAAGAAGGCCAGATCATTCTGTCTTCTGAAACAAATTGAGCTATCAGTGCTCCTTGATCAACATATTCCAGATGCCTATGGATCTGTTTATCCAGGATGCAATTATGTTCAAGTGCTGACCGACAATTGGGCAGATTTCTACTAGTTGCGATTTTGAGGTCCCTACTCTCTCTATCTACCTCTCTCTCGCCTTTCTGTCCAAGGTTCCTGCCATAGAATTATTTGGTTACGGGCAATCCGATGACTTGGGTTTAATTTGCCAATCCTACACTAACAGACTCCAGTATTCTCTTGTCTACCTAAAAGTTAGAAATAAAACAAAACAAAATATTTCCATCCCTCGCCTCCCTCTCTTTCAAGAATCAAGATAATAGATTTCTTTTTTTTAGATTCAGAATGCATACCCATTTTATGGTTACTCTCTCCCTGAGTGGTCTCTTCGATTCAATTGGGTGTCTTCCTGTCATCATTTCCACAAGCAATACACCGAATGAATACACATCACTCTTTTCAGTAAGCTGGTATGTCCTCAGATACTCTGGATCCAAGTAGCCTGTTGATCCCCTAATTTGAGTGGAGATATGTGTTGCACCGGGGTCTTCAGAAGCCAATCGTGCAAATCCAAAGTCCGTCACTTTGGCCCTTAGTTTCTCTGTGATCAGTATATTTGATGCTTTAATATCTCTGTGTATAATTGGAGGATCTGCAACAAAATCACTCATGTTAGGACACATCACTTTATAATAAAGGTGGCACACGAAATTATGATCCGGTAATTGATCAACAATTCAAGATACTCCTATTTGTCAATTGAAAAGAATCTGCATCAAAGTTGAAAGGATGAATTTTTATCTCTACCAGCTCTCTTTGCTATTATGAGAACACAAAAGGGCACATCCATGTCATTTGAGATGCATTAAGGCCTACTCAATTTGAATGCTAAATTTTTTGGTATTAATCCCATTCCCGATAGGATCAGAGCACGTACCAGAGTATGTGTGAAGATAGGCAACTGCATGAGCAATATCAATTGCAATATCCAGACGCTCAGTCATCTCAAGTCCATTTTCCCCTGTGCATGCCATGAAAAACAACCGGTGAAGTACCCAAAATAATAAGATCAAATCCTGCTCACATAACACTATCATGCTACAAAATCAATGTCTAATGAACAACCAAAACTAATTAACGATTATAACCCGCCAAAGTAAATTAAATCACCATCTAACATGTGTTTCGTGAATAAGAACAGATTTTCTCTAGTTGAAGATGTCAACCCAACAAATACTAGCAGTATCAACGAGCAAAACGAAATAAACAATAACATCTGGGAAGGGCCAATTTGATGGCTTGTGTGATCATATGAAATTTGAAGCAAAGAGCTGGTTACACTCGAGTCTCACTATCACCTTCTATATCTTTTCCGTCGGGATCGAGTTACAAATAAATTTATTCTTCTGGTTCAGGAAATAAAAAGAACAGCCGCGGTAGGTAACCGACAACATCGCCCAACACTTCAATGCATTTACTCACCTATATCGACTTAAAGCTCACCAATTACATGGTTTATACCCTTACTAACTTCCTGAGTCCAGATTTCATTTCCTCAATGCATGCTTGATCGCAAGCTTCAGGAATGAAAGAGGTGGCTAACTTACCATCGAGGTGCTCCCGCATCGTTCCACCGCTGATGTACTCTTCCACAATGATCTTCTCATCTCCGTGTTCCAAATACCCGTACAACCTTACCAAATTAAGATGCTCAATCTTCGACATGGTAAGGACTTCATTCTTGAACTCGGACGACGCGCGCTGATTGAGCACGTTCTGTTGAAGACTTTCGAACCGAGTAAGCACAATCCACCACAGAAGGTCAAGGTCCTATAATCTCTTATACACTGCTTTTACACTTTCTCCCTATTTCTCCCCTCTTAAGACACCGATTTTAGAAGCACTGGAAATAAATTCGAGCCACGTCTTTTCACGGTTTTCATGAAAGCTTACCTGCTTGGCACGCTTAATGGCGACCAGCGATCCGTCCCTGAGCTTGCCCTTGTAGACCGTCCCAAACGCGCCTTCCCCGATCACGTTAGACGCCGCGAAGTTCCCCGTGGCCTTGACGATCTCTTCCATCGTGAAACCCGTCGGCGCGGCCAGGCCGCTCGGGGAAATCGTGGCAACAGAAGAGGAGGCGCGCGAGGAAGACGACCTCCTCTTCGACGAACTCCTGGCGGTATCTGTAGAAGCTGCGGAACCGTCGTCAATCGTATGTCTCGGGGACACACGCCAATCACAAACCAAAGCAAGCTAAGGGGGATGAAATATACTGGGGAGGAGGTGCGAGAGCGGAGCTGACTTACAGGAGACGGCGCTGACTTGCCCGCCGCCGTTTCCGGGAGCGCCGGACACGGCGGGCCTCGAGGAGCTCCTCCGCTTGCGGAGGAGGAGGAGGGCGGCGAGAGCTCCGGAGACTCTCTTGGCCGCGGCTTTGAAGTAGTCCGCGAAGGAGCCGCGGCGCCTGCGGTCGCCGCCGGTCATGGCTTTCCTTGGGGCCTTCAGCGGGGCGGATTCGAGCCTTCGTCTCCTTCGCTCTTCATTTCCGGATAGACATATAGAGAGAGAGAGAGAGAGACAAGCTTCCGATCGCAGGTCGAAGGTTTGGGGGATTCACGTGCCGATGTAACGACGTTGGTGTCTCGTTAGGAGGACGACAACGACCGGTTCAAGCGAGCCGAACTACGAATCATGGCTATTGGCTATCTGGTTGGATGGGACAAAAATTTTAGTGACTGGTTTTCCCAATTTTCATTTTTCCTTTTTTTTGTTTTTTTTTTTTTTTTCGGAGATAAATGTACCGAGTCAACGAACCGACTCGCACCGTGCAGTCCAGGATGTCTGGTTGGACCGCCGCGCGGGAGAGATTGACCGTGAGAATATTCTACTGGGGCAAACCGAAACGGTACCGTCTCTGACATGGTCCGACTCCCCCGATCGAAGAAGTACCGCCGGAATGAGCGGTCTCGAATTTGGTCAAATCCAAAGTAAATAAATAAAAATCCGGACTACAAAAATGACACCGCTTTTCCAAATAATCCCCCCCAGAAAAAACATGGCTAACATTGCTGACGTGTATAAAAAAAAAATATTTTTCAAAGACGTCGAGTTCCGGTTAATCGAGACATGTGCGCGTCACATACGTTTCAAAGGAACTAGTTTGCTTTAACGGTCATTATTTTTTATTCCTGACGTGAAAATTCGTTATTTGTTATATAAAAGGCGAGGTTCGTCCCACGTCGAAAATGTTTTCTTTATTTGTGGAGGGGAATATTTGGGCGTTTTGAAATGAATCGTGCGGTCGTCAAAGAAGTGAAGCGATTGGCGTTGCCATTCCATAAAAGCCAATCACTCCCGGATGCAGGAGGTGATACGGACTGGTCCTCCAATCTGCAAGATGCTCAAGAAAGTCTTCTACCACTTGGTGGTGCCGATGGCCTTCGCTGTCTTTCCTTGTTCTATTCGGGTCCCTCTTCGATCAGTGGCCTCATCAATGAGGGTGGAAGCCACTTTCCGTCCTTGCATCGCTCCTATCGACATTTGTGTTATTTTCCCTTTTCGGTCTTCGCTCCTTCCCTTTCTTCTCGTCCATGATTTTCGGCCTCCTATTGATATCATGGCTGTGTGCTGGCATGAACTGATCTCGTACATCCAAAGGCATCGTACTTTGACTTCAATATATACGCCAAAACTCTTGGAATCTAATCGTAAGGAATGGAATGGCACATACCCATTTTGACAAAACCCCAATTCCGTGCTAGATATAATGGGGGACTAACCTCTCTCTGGGATATCATTCTCAGAAGTACAAAACGCGGTAGAACCTGCTCTGCAAGTATTGCAGTGATGGATGAAACAAGCCTTCCCCACCCAGCAAACAAACCCTCAACTAATGGAAAATGTTAGCAACTGTCTGTTCACATCTTTCACAATGCTCTTGATTACAGGAAAAGTACAGACACTTATCTCGTCATTGACGTGATTAGAATTGATGGGAAAACAAAATCCTTCTCATCCATGGAGTACATCAATTTCTCCCACTACTATCCATTTTCATAGCAGGGCAGCCTAATTGACAGCTGTGGCTTCATCGCTTACAAATGATAAATTGCTATTCCAATGGTTACTGCAAAATAAAAGAGGACAATGGCCATCAAGCAGTTTGACCCAAGATAAGAACAAACCATATTCATCTGTATGGTTGCGATGGCATATGCATTGTAAGCAGAATGGCAGTAAAACCACCTTTACTGGACAACTGCTTAACTATCTCAAAGAACTAAGATATCTGCTTTAAGGGAAAACCCTAAAATCAAATTGATCTCACATATATCAACCTGAGAAATAAAAACAGTTAGGAAAACGCCTATACTCTATATTTCTTTGATGCCAGAATCTTTACATGGATTTACAGGAGGGAAGAAAAATCTTCACGAGGGAAGGAGATGCTGATACTTGATACCATCTCGATATGAAGAAGATGTTGATACTTGATACCTCCTCGATATGAATGATTGAAGATTTCACTTACAGGCGTTATCTACAATTCTTGCACAATGAAGATCTGCAGAATTGACCTCTGCTTCCTGGGGCTGTGTAACCAGCAGTTGCAAAGGCACTTCTCATGTAACAGTTGACCCAGAATGCGGTGACAGATCTGTTAGGAAAACTGTGAGATCATACAACTGCTCGTCTAGGGAAAGAAAGGATGATAGGGACACCTAGCACATTCCATTGACTAGAACGGTTAGGTAATTCATCAAATTTGCCGAAGAAATCATCTATCCATATATGTGCTCATTTTCTGGTACTTTTAACTGGAAGATGGTAGAGCGACCTAAGCACAAATTTAGTAGGAAAGAATGGGTCAAGTTACAAAGAGGAATAGGTAATACTGACCCGTCTCATCAAAATTTATCCTCTCTCCAGTAGAAAAGATATCCCAAAAAATGGCAGCAAGAATATATAATATTGACGTAAGCAACAGAAATCCTCTGAATGAACCGACCAATTCAACGAAGAAACCAGCTCCAACTGTTCCCACAATAGCTGCCAAGGTTCCTGCTGTATTCGACATTCCTAGAAGCAGCAATAGGTATTATTTTCAGAAGAAACCATAAGTTCTAGAGGTATTCAGTGCAACTAAAGAGCCTGCAGAAGAGCATATTATCAAAGCATGAAATTCGCAGACCTGGAGGATGTACAGATTGCAGTACTGCAATTTAAAAAAACAATGAAAACTATGCATGAACTGCCTCCTCCCTTATCAATAGAAGCCCTGAAGCAGCGAGAGAAGCGCATGGACCATTACATATTAAAAAGCATGAGCTTTTCCTTCAACAGGAGAGTGATAGAATGAGCCTTGGAAACTTTCACTTTTGTAAAGCCAAGTCAAGAGAGCCCCTGATAACCGGGCAATTGATAATTACTGAAGAAGATGCATGGAAGCGATTGAGTTGATATTGCAAACATACCATGTAGAACGCCTGAATACTTTAGAGAGATCTCCTGTTCATAGCAAGTGAAAATAAAAGGTTACACACGAGAAAGAAAGATTTTAGGTAATGACTGTAGATTTTACTTGGAAAGCAACCTGTAAGTTCACTAGAAAGCCAGAGTGACTGAAGGACTTCAGCCCGATTGCTAAGGTAAGCCAGGCAGATGCAATAGATGGTTGCTTGGCTGTAGTTAAGCCAATAAGAGCAATCCCAGGACCAATGAATCCAATTGACTGAAAAACGAATATACAGAAGATTGTTATTACATAATAAACGCAAAATGTTAGTGAGAATGAGAGGAAGGATTACAGAGAAAAACCATGTGTGCATATAGACCGCACACATGTATTTATAATATATTTAAGTGTTACAACAAAGGAAACCCAACATTACATAATAGTACACAATCGACATACACATCTACTATGATACTATTTCCAATTCCTAACAGTGTTTAACAATGAAGCATAAATTCAACATGCAATACCTAACAAATCTTATGACTTTCATGAAAAAGAACCTTTAAAAAAAAAAAAAAGAACCCACAAATATCTTTGATAGTTTTCTTCAATTTCCACCAAACAAGTCCAGAGCCAAAGCCACAACCACCATGAAATTCCCAAGTTGATGAATAAGAGACATGTATGCAGTGAGAGCATGAAAAGCAGTTTCCCAAATCTTTAGATGTTGATTATGACAGCAAAGGAAAGTTGGCCAAGTTATGAAAAAATGCACATGAAAAAATAAGTTCAGTGGTGAACCCACCTGCATAAGCTTGCGAGTCAAAGAGATGCTTGTGCCTCCTTGTATCAACAAGTCTGACCACATACCAGCCAAGTACCCAACAAATGCCATCACACTCCATGGAACAGCACTGTACCATGCCGCTTGTCTAAGGTCAACGTGATAGACCTGTCACAGGAAAATATTCATTTGAAAGTAACTCTATGCACCGGCATACAATTCATCTACAGCTAAAAACAAAATGGTCCCATACCGAGTAAAAGTAGATTGGCATCCATGAGAGAATGACAAAGAAACCCTACAGCAACAACAGGAGGAAAAAACATACAATTAGCATAAAGAATTTGCTGTATCACTATGAGAATATCTTCTTATATTTTCCCCCCAAAAAAGGGGTATACTGATGATATTATCCGCATGACATTAGTGGTAATACTCTAAATAGAGTGAAAATGTGCATTACCCAGCTGTGCATGGCATTAGCAACAATTAGGGACCATGTAGGCATCTTGGAAAGCATGCGCTTAAAAGGAGGGATCATGCTACTTGTCTCGCTTTTAGTATCCGGCACCGAGGGTTCATGCCTCCCACTTCTTATGTAATTTAGCTCATATTTTGATATCTGGGGATGCCGGTCAGGAGTGCTCGTTATTGCAGACAACCATACCAAAACCCAGAGAAACCCAGACAATCCAAAAATAACGAATGGCCCATATATTCCACCTTGTGACATAAGAATTGGAGAAAGGGTGAGTCCTATGGCATTTCCTAGTGTAAAGCCAGCCATTGCAATACTAACAGCTCTGGCTCGTTCTGCTGCTGGAAACCATCTAAGAAATCCAAACATCACTTCATTGTCACAACATATTCAAGCATCAATCAAAAAGCACGAGTAACAAACAACAGATTACTTTCTATTAAGATAGACGATAAACAGATTGGTAATTTATTACCTTGCGACCATCTTGTTCATGCAAGGAAGAGCCACACCTTCTGCTATGCCAAGTAAAACACGCATCACGAGGAGAGCCAATAAAGAAGCTTCAGCAGCCCATGGGGTAAGAAATGTTGCTAGGGACCACAAAGCCACACCCCATCCCATGACAACCTTACCCCCATAGTAGTCCACAAGAGCCCCTCCAGCGATTGGTGATATCAAGTATCCCCAAAGGAAAGACGACTGGGGCGAGTGTTGACGGACAAATCAATTTTAGTTTAAGAATTAAGAATGTATCGAATGTCAAACGGATAAAGAAAGACCCGTTGTAATCAGATGTGGGCATACACATTGATAAGTCACATTGGTACTTAACTAGCAGTCCACTTTTCAACCAATAATAACTCATGGTTGAGAATTCACTTGGTACTACCAGACCCAGAAAAGTGAGAAACTTCACAGAAAGGTTTCTGAATCCCGCCAAAAGCAGAAAAAAAGATTTCATATTTATTTTAATCCAAATGGATAAGCCAAAACCCTCTGGTCATCCAAGCAATTGCCGACCTTTTCCCATCCAAAATTCAATCATACAACACTTAGATTTAGCTTAATACTTTGCAACTGCAGGCGCAATCTTCTTTTTTTTAGATGGTACAAGGAACTAACAGGCTAACGGCTAAGCGCAAATACTGAGCCAAGTAGCATTCAGTCAACGAAGTGAAGTATCAGATGCAATTGATTCGGATCACGACAAAACAACTGAAGCAAGCTTTTGTCGAAAGCAGCATTAACAAAGAGAAGCAGAAACCCAACCTGAACGATGCCGGCGAACGATCGGCTCCAGCCGTGAGAAAGCGACAAGGGCACAATGACCACGGACATCACCACCCGGTCCGCATTACAGAGGGCCAATGCCAAGGCGAGCATGGCGACCACCTTGACCCTCTCCGAAGTGATGAACTCAAAAAAACCAGGAGCCTGCACCGCTTCCCGATCGGACAACGGACCGGACGGAGCACCGCTCGGGGAAACCCTAACCCGAGCCGCGAGCTCCGGCTTCGGCTCCGCCGACTCGCGCCCGCGCCGGGCCCTCAGGGAATTCGGCGGAGGCTCGGGCCCGAAGCATATCCGCCTCGAGACGGCGCTGACGCGCGACGGAACTCTGAGCTCGGCTGATCCGGCGGAGTTGGCCGGCGGCCTCCGGAAGCAGCTCGGAGAAGCGGGAGAGGGGAGCGGCGGTCGCCGGAGAGGGGAGTGGAGTGAAGTCATTCCGAGAGGAATCGGCGGCGGCGGCGACGAGGAAGGAGGAGGAGTTCAGGAGAAGTCCATGGCGGCGAACCGATGAGTTTCAGTGCGTGTGCCGGTGGTGGTGTTTGGTTCTTTTTCAATCCGTCTTCTTCTTCTTCCTGGAGCGAATTGGCAGGGAGAGATTGTCTCGTCGCGTCACTGTGCAGAGAACTCGAAAATCTCCAAAGTGAATTATGTCAGTTCGTCTTTATCTTTTAGAGCTTGACTATGGTTAGGTGGGAACGTCTACCCTCCATGAAAGATTAATATATTTTATTTAATTAATTTGGGTTTTCGATTGTTCATATCTTAGTAAAGTTTGTTATTTTAGTATCTATCAAGGGAAAATGACACAAATAATTTATGGACTTTGATTCAATATGTAACGTGGTCCCCGAACTTTCAATTTGTTCATTGTACTCCAAGAACTGTAATCCAATATATAATGTGGTCCCTAAATTTTAAATTTGTTCAGTGTAGTTCATGAACTTGGGTAAACGTTTAAATTAGTTCTTGAACTATATGAAAATGTTCAATATTGTCCATGAACTTGAATTACTGGAGAACAACATTGAACATTTTTTCATATGGTTCAAGGACTAAGTTGAACATGTACTAAAAGTCTATGGATTATATTGAATAAATTGAAAGTACATGAATCACATTGTACATTGAACTAAAGTTCATGGATCATATTGAACAAATTAAAAATTCAGAGACTGCATTGCACTTTAGGACAAAATTTAAGGACCATTTATGTTATTATCTCTATTTATTAACTAATAAAATAAGATAATAGCATCTAAATAAGTCGATTTCTATTTCGAATGTTAGTTCGAATTCATACTTTTGTTGATTAGACGTTAGAATATTGTTTGAGTATTTGATTTGTTGATCGGAAGAAATTAAAATAAATAAATAGAGAAGCCGATCAATAAGACGAATGAGAGTTTTAGAATTTAAATATAAAAATCAATGGAGACGCATAGCTAGCAATGTGATTGATCAATCATATTACATTTTAATTTTTGCAAGTGATACATAGAGTATACTTTCTTAGTTAGGGTGATTATTAAAAAAATCAAGGAACCAATAACCAAACTAGCTAAATTTTAAATATCGAGTTCATTGGTTTATTATTGATCATTTATCTGATTTTAACCCAATAATTCTTTTATCAAATCAATCGCCAATTCATAACATGGATAATTTTTTCGATATCCTTTATTAACATACCTGATTATGCACGCGTTAAGGCGTGTCAAATTGCGAGTTTGTCGATGATTGTTCCGCGAAAATTTATCATATTGTAATTTAATGACAAATAATTTTTGCGGTGAGGTATCTATCAAAAGTATTCTATTGTGAAAAGAATGTGTAGTTTCCCAAGAATGGACACCAAATACCAATCGTTCCTTTCCGTGCAGCATAAATAATTGAGAGTTTGAAATCAAAAGCTAATGATTGCTTTTGAATTTCTTATAGAAAATTCGCAAAAATGAATTTTAGTCTGTCTTTTTCTTTCGCATTGTTCTTACTATTGAATTCTACTTTATGGAAAAAGGGGCGATGGTGTCTCCGAAAGTTGATTCCGAAGCTCGACTCCGACAAGACTCAACCGGTGGAGGAAAGGTTTTTAGCTCGACAACAGGGGCTTTTTGTGTGTTGGGTCTCATCACAGTCGGACCAAGCTCGGCTTGCTCGATCGGACACAGGGGAATCATCTTCGTACATATAATAGTGTCAAAGCCAGTAGCGAATTTGAAACGACAGGCGTATTGTTCACTGGTCAATGTTCAGGAGGGAAAAGAATGTTTCTGCATATCTAGGATTCCAGAGGTGTCACAGAAATTACATACTAATTTCGGACAGCTCGAGATGGGATACTTTCAGGTCATGGCCTAATCGAATCGATGGCACGTCATGAGATCCATGCAACGATGCGAACAAAATAATTCCTGGAAAACGACGATGCACAAGTTTCGCTCGACAGTCAGTCGATAGTCTATACAAGGATAATTTTGACAAGGAGACGAGAACAGACTAACATCGAGAAAAACCAAGGATACAGATATGACCAATCCAAAGCTTCCGTATATACAACTTACAGCACATACATGATGCCCCCCATCTGAGCCTTTTTTTCACATCCTGAAACCCGAAATAAGCCGCACATGCCGAAAATAACTTCACTCGCGTGACATTCAAAACTACAGGATGTCCCAGGAGTTCAATCCAATGATGCAACTAACATTCCATAGTAAAGGCACACGTCCAGGATTCAGGTTAATGCATACGTGAGAACAGTGTTCTGTCGCCATCCGCATGTTAGACCACATTCCTCGGGTCCAACTCTAAAAATGTGCTCACATTTTGCTCGCATGTGCATTGAACAACGAGTGACGACCTTCAGCAATTATCTCCCCGGTCGCTTTGTTCCTCAGGAGTACAATGGTTGCAGAATAGCCCCCCTTTTGCCCTAAAACCTTTGAAGTAATCTCTAGCTCATCCTGCAATTCAAGTTGGAAATCCATCACTGTCCAACATGCATGAAATCGAATTCAAAGGGCAGTCCTGGTGTTACAACCAATACGAACCCAGTGTCTAAAAGTTGCAGAACCAGTTCACCTAGTAATGCAGCTGTATTAGGCTATACTTACTCGAGATTTCGGTTTATTACTTCATCTATATGCCAAATAAGAGCCCTAGTAGCGTGGATGGAGCAAGATGTTCCCTTTGAATAGGCGGTGCATGCTGGTTGATCATTCCAAAACTCATTAACAGGCGAGCTACAGCTACCAAACCACATTTAGACAATGCAGGACTATCCGATAGCCAAAAGAAAAAAGAAAGTACAAGAAAAGAAAAGATGAATGACAACGTCATAAACATGAAACCACATCTTATTGCACAAAATCATCTTCCTGCCAACAACTGTGATCTTTAACTATCAGGCCATCTATCAAAGATGAAACTTTGGGAAAAGGCCTAAACAACCGCTTGAGGAGATCAAAGCCAGCCTAAAACGGAATAGCCCGAACAACATCAGCTCAGAGTGGAAACGGACCGTGCATAAATGATTAGCTAAGTCGAGCGCTTGAAAAAGCCCCATAAATCAATCAACAAATCAACAGTAAATATGCGGCGGGTAGGCACTTTTGTGATGCAGCAGTTCAGTGGCTAAATAGCCTCAGTTAATTCCATCAGATACGTCCGGCCTGAAAGAACCCATCAGATACGCAAAGAAGATACTACCGACCGCGTATTACTTTCACGTTCCAGAGAATAAGGAGGTGCATTATATACATATTCAGAGCATCTACTAAGCCTCAGAGGGTTGAGTCAAAGGCTTTGCTTACATCGACCTTGGCTGCGCAGAGGTACGAGATCGACATGTGAACCGACACACTGATGGGAATACCCTCGACGTGCACCACCGCATACCCGATTTCGTCGACCATGGTCGCGATCGCGCCTTGAGCCAAGTTCCCATTCCTATCCTGTCACCAATTCATTTCAAAGCACGAATCACAAAACTAAAGTCAAATCTGCAGGGCGATCGCGCGATCGCAACTACTATTGCAAAGACATAGCCAGATTCCAAAGCATCGTTCTCGTAACCACTGTCTGCCAGCAGCAGCAGCAGCAGCAGCAGCAGCAGCAGCACATGTCAAGTTCATCCACACTTTCCAGCACAATCGAGCTCGTTCTCTCGAGCATACATCGCCGGCAACTGATGATTGCCGCCGACTAGCGCGCGCGACTCGGGGGGAAAAAGCAAAACGAGGGCTCAAGGGACTCACGGCGAGGCGAGGGGGGACCTTGAAGGAGCAGACGACGAGCCCCGGCTCGACCCGGTCGACCCGGAGGCCCCTCAGGGAGAAGCTCTCGTAGAAGCTGGGGTTGTCGCCGGCGCGACGGGGAGGGACGGCGAGGCGCGACACCGCCTCCGACGCCTCGTCGCTGACGGCGAGGTATTGCTTCGCCTTCTCCATCGACGGCGGGGGCTCGGGCGGTGGAAGACGCTAGAGTTTCGAGCTTTGATGCGACTGCGTGCAAGCACGAGGCTCAGTGGGCCCCGAGGAACGCTAACGGGATTCGAAATTGGGCCACGAGACAAAGGACTTGTTACCTTAATTTCTGAAAACTCTATTATTGCCTTGCGTTAGAACAAAGATATTTTAGTTAATTTAGTTTTATCTTATTTTCTATATATTTTTTCCAATATTTACAGCAATTAAGGGTAGAAAAGATATTTCCTTCGTAAAAATAAGGTGAAAGTGTACTTTTGCCTCTTAAAATTCACGCGCATTATGATGCTAAAAGAAAAAATAACGAAGGGTTAACTGTCGTGATGAAATAAAATTTCAAGAATTATCCTGTGATAATTAAAAGTTCCGGGGCACGAGAGTGAAAAATGATTCACGGGAGTTTTTGTGTAATTTCCTTACCTTTTTTGTACAATTTTTTTGTATCGAGATGGATCGAACTTTCTCACTAAATGCCTTCACCCAGAGCAGCACAAAAATTTTTTGGACTCTTGTGGCTCGAGCCAAGTCCAACGGCCTGTAGGTCGCTAAGACCATGATCGAGTCTAATCATAACTAAGAAAACGTGTACCACAAATCAAGTTAGCGAAGCAGGAGTGTAATCAAGTCGGGTAAAGCAAATATACTATCAAGGTCGAGTTCGACTCGCACGCTCAATGCTCGAAACTTGACTCAAGCTCAGTATAAAATTTCCACTCGAGGTCAACTCGATTACAAAAGGCTTGACTCGACTCCGTCATAATTAACTCATGAATAAAATTGGAGCTCGCGCTCAAGCTTTATGAGCTCAAACTTTATATAATTTCAAGTATTTAGTGTTTATCTTTACAATTATTCCATGTACTAATGAAAGATTGATTAGGCTCCATTACGGTTGGAGCTTATCGAGCTGAGTGTTGACAAGCCCAAGCCCAACTTGACGAGATGCTCGAATTTGAGCTCGACTCAAAGTTAGGCGAGTCGATCTCGATTGGCCCATTCAGTCGAACATAGCAGTCATCCGGTCGAACCAATGAGATTTGGAAAAAAAAGAAAAAAAGAAAGAGCAATAATAAGAGGGGGAAGTAAAGGAGATAGATAGCTCACCGGTGCCTCTGCTAAAACAGCATTTAAGAAAGATTCCAACAACGATGTTGCATCAAGTGCGTCATCGGTTTCGAGGCCAGAGATGGTTTTGGTCTTTAGCGGCGGTTTTTTTTTTTCTTCTTTTGGTCGAAGTCTTTAGTGGAGTTGACTTCAAAAAGAAGAAAAAAAAAAACAATATTGGGACGCGGCAAAATTAAAGAATTAATTTCGCGAATCGGGCTGTCCCCGCGGGCTCTTGTCTCGTGCCATCGTAACCCGCGAAAAAAATACCGGATATCGATGATGGCCCCACGCACGAGCTGCAAAAAATTTCTCTTTTCCTTGTTGTTTTTTTTTATCGTGTACAATCAAACGTTAGCGAGGGGGTAAAAGAAAAAAGTTAATCTTTTTTAACTTGTTATAGAAAAAAGGGAAAATACCATAAAAAAATCTCAAATTATGTCACTTGTGAGTAATTTACCTTGAACTTTTTTTTGTGACACGAAAAATCAAAAATTGTCACTCGCGACAAATTTACCTTGAAATTTTTTTTGTAACGCGAAAAACCCCAAACTATGCCACTTGTGATACATTTACCCTACAATACTTTGGCCAATGGGCATTTTAGTCTTTTTCCTTTTTCTTTTCTTCCCTTTTCCCTTCGCCGGCCATGGCGGAGGGAAGCCAGCGAGGGCTGCCTTCATCGGATTCGGTGTCGTGCGACCCTTGCAGGCGTCGGGCGAGGATCGCTCTCGCCTGGGCGGGCGAGCCCGACATCAGATCCGGCGAGGGCGACTTCACCTGACTCAGGCGAGGGCTGCCCTCGCCGGATCTGGCGAGGGCTGCCCTTGCCGGATCCGGCGAAGGCAGCCCTTGCCGGCTTCCCTCCGCCATGATCGGCAGAGGGAAGAGAGAAGAAAAGAAAAAAAAGAAGGAAAAAGACGAAAATGCCCATGAGCCAAAGTATCGTGGGGTAAATGTGTCACAAGTGGCATAGCTTAGGATTTTTCGTATCACAAAAAAAGTTTAGAGTAAATTTATCACAAGTGGCATAGTTTAGGGTTTTTCGTGTCACAAAAAAAAGTTCTTGGTAAATTTGTCCCAAGTGGCATAGTTTTGGGTTTTTTGTGATATTTTCCCTAGAAAAAATTATAGCAAAGATTTTAATAGCAAGTGTTCGATCCCCACGGCCTCCCCCTCTCTCGTATTGTGTACGATAAATATATCGAAAATGAGAACATTTTTCTTAATAAACATTTTCTTCGTAAGTATGGCCAGAGAGTATCTCGGGAGTCCTCTGAATAATACCGTTTTCCTTTATTTAGCACACATAAGACACTTGTCTATATTAACTATACAATTGAAAGTCCATTTATGGTGAATTACTCGAAATAATATTTTGATATTACGGATATAATATAGATTTCCTAGTTTACCATCAGATGTTTAAAAAGGAAGTTAGTAAACAAGAATTAAATTTAAAATTAATGCAAAAGGCATCTCGTTTCAAAATTTTAGGTGCTGCACATAGCACCTCAAGAGAAGGAGACTTGTCGTTACCCCTAATCTCGGGTTTCAAAACATATCTAAACAGAGAATGCATAAAGGTAAGATAACAAGAAAATGACAAGTTAAAGACACATTTCGTGACCCACGGGGCATGCGGCCAAGTGGCAAGGGAATTGGGTGGGGGTAAGAATATTTAGTTTCAAGTGGGTTTGACTCATATACTTTGCAAAGAGACATAATAAAAATTTGAGAGAGAGGAGAGTTAAAGTAGAATATACAATATATATATATATATATATATATATATATATATATATATATATATATATTTCGTGTGAAGATATTTCCCAAATGCTAGAATCTTCGTGGGCTTATTGCGACAGGCTTGCCAACCTCGAATCTTTGGGTCGTAAGTAGTCTGAAATAATTATAACTCAGATCAAACATTTGGTGGCGGGCATGAGACCTTTATTATAATGCTAATGATCACTAGCGCTAGTTATCCATTCTCACCATTTTTCATTTATAAAAAAGAGATAAGGATTTCTAACACAAAGTCATCACCCGAAATTCAAAAACTGACTCGGTACTTACTTAATTTTTGTGCCAAAACAATAAATTAGGAACAAGGGCGTAAGGTGAGGACTCTTCGATTCAGTTTGATTTGGTATGGAAGCCTTATCAAATTGAGTTGAATAATTATTGTATGGGAAAGTTAATGACCAAATTGAATTGAAAAAAGAATTTGATATCGTGATGAAAACCAAATTGAATAAGGCGATGCATTTTAAATTCAAATCGAACCGAAATGGATTATATCTTATTGCTCATTTTCCTTTGGATATTCTTCTGAAGGTAATAGACTATCGATTCTTTACAGTATCAAAACCTAGCCTCAAGACATCACAAGACATAATCAAATCTTCAACATCAAAACCAATGTTAAATGGATCAAGAATTGGAGATCACATTTCATAAAAGTTGCTATAAAAAAAGTTCGAGCAATGAATTCCGAGGACCACAAATTTATAAGCCTGTCCTTCAAATGCCGTTGATTAATCAAACTACTCTAGAAATTGTTCGATCCTCATCATAGTAAAGTAAAAAAGAAAGTCAAACATTCATTTCGATTTGCAATTTCAGATCATCTCGAGGGCAAAAAAGAATAGGAAAAAGGATCAAATTGGGGCGTGAATACAGAAAAGATCAATCTTCCCCAGACGTATTTCTCCATCGTATAGAGCAACCGACCACAAAAATTACATACGGATACGGTTACATCAATACCTTCCAAAACGGAAACATAAATACTCGGAGAAAGGGTTTATACGAGGTTTTCGCTTCACTCGCATGTTCACCTAACCTGAAAAACTCCCAACCGAAACTGCACCGATCTCCACTCGCCGAGTTCACTCACTCACTCGCCCCTCCCTTTCCCTGATATGCGCCGGCCGCTCCCTCCGTCGATCCGCCGATGACCCACCAAGGCCGAGCCCAGAGCCACCGCCTCACCACCTGCCCCCGCCACCCCACCGCCACCCCTGTCACCGGCTTCTGCGCCTCCTGCCTCCGGGAGCGCCTCGCCGGCATCGACCCCTCCACCCACCAGGAGATCGCCGGCCGCCACCCGAGCCACCCCCTCCGCCGCTGCAAGTCCTACTCCTCCTCCGCCAGGCGCGACGGGCTCTCCGGCGCCTCCGCCGAGCCCCGCCGCAAATCCTGCGACGTCCGGGCCCGGAGCACGCTTTCCGATCTTTTCACCCTCGACGACGGAGAGAAATGCGAGAGAGGCGAGGCCTTGTTCGGGTTGAGGGAAGAGGATGAGAATGAGCGGGAGCCGGAGGAGGAGGAGGAGGAGCACGAGGAAATTAGGGTTTGCGTGAGAAGCGTCCAAGCGAATGAGAATGTTGTCAATAATGGGAGTGTCGACGAGGGTTTTGATGATGAGGCGGAGTTCAAGACCATGAAGGAGTTTATAGATCTCGAGTGGCAGAGCAAGAAGCAGACGAGGAAGAACATCAGGGGCTTGTTGGAGGCAGCATCTGTGTTTCGGCGGAGATTGGGGAAATGGCATCGGAAGGAGAAGATGAAGAAGCAATGTGGTGGTAATGGTGACGATCTGGGGGTTGCAGCGGATGCGACAGGAAAGATCAGTCTGAGGAAGTTGAGGGAAGCACAATCTGAGGTCGGAGAGTATAGATTGGGAAGAAGATCGTGCGATACGGATCCGAGACTGTCGGTTGATGCTGGTAGGGTCTCGGTCGATGAAGTGAGGTGCTCCTTCGACGAGCCGAGGGCATCTTGGGATGGGTATTTGGTCGGGAGGAGTTATCAGTACCCGCGGCTCAATCCGATGGTGTCGTTTCTCGAGGACGTGAAGGTGATCGATATTGGTTTCAAGAACAGGGTTTTGGTTGAAGACAAGTTGAAGGTGGTGAATGAGGAGGGTGGGAGGAGCCCCGGTGGGTCTGTTCAGACGAGGGATTATTACAAGGAGCCATTTTGTTCACAGAGGCGGAGGAGGAGTTTCGAGCGGTTGAATTCCACTAGGAAGGGAAGTTTAGTGGATGTTGATGATGTGAAGTTGGTATCGAATATGAAGATCTCTCCTGCCTCCACAGAATTATTTTACGGGGCAAAATTGCTCATTGCGGAGGAAGAATTGAGGGGTTCGAGCTCAAAGTCCAGCAACGATGATAGGACGGAGAGTACCGAGTCTGCATCAAAGGATGATGGTTCTATTGCTGGTGGGGTTGATGAGAAACAGTTCAAGAAGTTGCCTGCTTGGCGAAAAGCATGGAATGTCTGGGGTTTGATTCAGAAAAGGAGCGAGCGCAAATGCATTGTTGAGGAAAGTCATGCTACTGAAAATTTGGAAGAGCAGCTGCCGCGAGTCTCCAATGGAGAAGCAAATGGTGCTCTGAGCCAGAGGATCAACTGCAGTTATGGTCGGAACTCCCCTAAGATTGACGGGCCTGGATCTTTGAATGGTGCAGGAGTCGCTGAGAGCAGAGGGATCGGTTTGAGGATTAGGGAGGAGTCTCCGTTGACGAGGAATCGCAGCGTGAAATACTCTCCGAACAATGTTGACAACGGCCTGCTAAGATTTTACTTGACTCCATCAAGGAGCTATGGAAGTAAATCTGTCAAGAGTAGGCTGCGGAAAGCACACACTTTAGCAAAGGGCGTTGTGTAATGTGCTGTATCTGTCATCGAAAAAGAATTCTGTGCTGTAAACTGTAAAGACATGCAAAATCTGTGTATTTCTTTCTTCTTCCTGGTTAGTTATAAGAACGGTGTATGTCATCAGTTCCCTTCTTCAAATAGCAAAGATGCAATTGCCAACTCTTTGGCGACCTTTCCTTTCTATGATTTTGATATCATTCTGGCGGATTTACTTAGGGCCATCAACATGTGGAAGGAAGCAAGAAAAGTTCTTTCTGGTGAAGCAAAGTTTTTGTTGACATCTGATGTGCATAAAGTTGACTCCATGGACTGTGTGATTGCGTTGTGAATTTTCTTACCGTGGAATTTGCCGGCTCACTCTCCCTCTTTCTTCGATGCATTTATCAGAAGTAAATGGCCGGATAAGAATTTTCTCTGTGATGACCCAGAAAACTTATGGAGAGGTAGAAGGAAACATTTTCCTTCGTAACTGGTTCCCAACTTACCTAGAGGCTCGGATGATGGTCACTACTACTACACTCATGAGTTCTGTTAGTAAAAAAAGTTAGATATACCGTTCGTGTCGTTCATAGTTTTCTTTTTGTTGCTAGGAAACATTCCTACTGTCATCAGTCAACTGCGTTTTTGCTATGCTGCTATGTATTTTGCCCAATACCGCGAATCTAATGAGCAACGCGCATGAGACATTTGGCTGGGTTTCGACGCTTTTGTGAGAGATTCAGACATGCTGAAACCATGAAGTAGAAACTGGAATACATGTCAACGTCGAAAATTTGAACTTTTGACAGATTCTCAAAGGAAAAGCCTTTGAGCGGCGCATACTTATTGAGGATTTCAGCCCACTTGCTTGTCGGAAGTTTTCCTCCTCAGCTCCAATCCCAGGAGTTCAACACTGACAGTTCAAATCTCTTGCGACACAGTGGATATCGTGTCCGCTACAATTTGCTCAGTAAATATCCGAACTATAGCTGCCTTCTTGAGGCGGCTAACAACTTCAGCTCACCTAGATTGGAGCTGAGAATTTGTTCGTCGATTTCTCACACAACCGACGACTTGGAATCTATCTAAGACTGCAAATTCCCTCCTCTCTTCTTCAGCTCACTCAACTCTTCCTTAATAGACAAATACTAGTCCTTCTTGGCCCGAAAATCTCTGAAAATTTTGTTTGCCTGCTCAGCAATCTGGGATTTCTTCGACCAATTTCAACTTAAGCAGTTGATCAACAGTTAAGATGGGACTGATTGCGAGCTTCTCTACCAAAAAATGCATCTCTTCCAGGTTCTCTGAGGACAGCAAGCCTGAGAAATCCAGGGCAAGAATGGAAGAAAGCTTCTTGCTATAAGTAGGCATTTCCACTGCCAAATTGGAACTTACATAAGTCGAAGGAGTTGGCGCGTGAGCTTCATCATGGTGCCGAGAAAGATGTTTCAAAGACTTCAAATAGTCATCAACATCTTCACAGAATTGAGCCTTGAAGTTCCTGGACTTTTCCCTCATCTTGTGCGTTGAAAGAATCGGATGCATAGCAGCAAGAAACGATACTTTGGTGAGTAAAGATGTCCTCGATCATTTTCAGTGTCAGAGCCATATTTGGAGTATTCAGTCGTATCACTTGTACTATCATCCTTTAGACAAGTCAATTACTGACTCTTCATTTCTGGTGTTGACTCGAGCTGGCATTTTGTAAGATTTTCAAGTTCTTTGCCTAGGGCACTGCCTAAACGTTCTAATGCCAAAATGTCCAACAAAGTCCGACGTATTCAGCAGAGAGTCAAGTGTGAACCGAAATCTCATCAGGGGGAACAGGAGATTTCAGCCACATGTTTGATCTGGCAATGTGCAACAAGGCAAAATTGCAACAGAAGGCTGGGAAGGATCTTTCCAAATTGATATTTATGATCTCATGGAAATGGAAACTGCTTGAGGGAGATTCTAAGATGATTAGAGGACAACTAGGCCAGTGAGCAAGGTAAAATCAGTTGTATGTCTGCAGATATTCAAATGTCCCATAAGGCCAATAATGCCGTGCCGTTGGTGCGGCGCACGTGCTTTCCTTGCGGTGGTTCGTGAAACTGCAGATGTTATTTCACCTTCCAAATGATGCAAATCTTGTTCGAATATGAGCTAGCTCTGTTATCTCTTCTCACCATGGATACGGACACTACGCAGAAACTTGTGAATGGACTAGAGGCATCAAGTTTGATTGCAGTTTAGATATCTCCGCGTTGTGCATTGCCTCTGGACTACTTTTTTGTTTTCTCCAACAAACTCTACTATTTGATGCAGCACAAACCTTCAACATAAATTTAGCAAACCTTTAACTATGGCCCCTGAATTTCAAGCAGTAAAGTCCACGGGAGGATGTGGAGTATTTAGTTATGATTCATCGAATATTAAAATTTGAAGACTGCGCTGCGATGATGAGTGAGCCCAACTTCAGTGTGTAAACATCAGGTTTGTCCCCATTTTGGAGTAGATAAGGCATGCAGAGATGATGTAGGATGGCAAAAACGTCTCCGACCTACAAAAGTTTAGCTCTTTAACCAAGCTTCATGCGATTTTTATTGTATCTGACTCCATGCCACTCTTGGAAGGGCTTCTGCAAAACTCTTGTCCGGAATTTATCGAAGGAGGAGGTTCTGGATAAGAGCAGACAAGTCGTCCTCTTTCTTTCGCAACAATTCAGTTGATTTCCTAGTTCTTTAAGTTTCTCGCGAATCTTGACTGTTCAACAAGAAACTGAGTTTCCTTCTGCCGATCTAAAGACTGCGCAAACTCGCATGGAGGCCTGCCGTTAGATTGTACACCTTTATACTACACTCAATGTCTTCTCTGAAAGTAGAGGACTCATCTTGGGTCTGAAGACTCGTTTCTGAACGTGCAAACCTCACTCCAAGTGTCACTGCCTAGAGAATTGGATCATTCTCGAGTTTTCTGAATGATGGACCGTGACCGATTCGAGAAGGCGAACCTCGAGTATTTTAAGTACTAAGATTTTCTTAATGTGTTTTAGAATACTCTTGGGGGCAGACATTTTTGTAATTGTACCTTATTCTTGTAATTCTATTGGCCGATAGAGAGGTGGCCTTTGAGTGGAGATAGGGAGGTGCAATCTCCACCGTTAGATTAAGGAGAGATCTACGGATACGATCAGTTGTGTATTTATATATAAAGGGGTCTCTTCTTCTCATTTGTAATCTCATTTTCAAGTGAAATACAATCTAGAGCTTCTCTCTAGAGTTTCTCTCTCTAAAATTCTTGTGAGTGAGCACGGTTATGCTAATCGTGACACGAAGCAATCGACCCGTGGGACTACCATTTCGTTTCCTATACTCATTGTCAATATGATCTTGTCGATTCACCGCCACGTTCCTGATCTTAACTCCCATTTGAGAAACTAAAAAGGATCCGATAGGTGCTGATAATAAGTTCAAATAGATGAAATGATCCTCTCCAATATTCCAAGATGATACCACTGGCAGTAGCCAAACGAACAATTTTAAGAGGGAAATGACACAAACAGTGACTGTATTGAACAAATTAAAAGTTCAGGGATTAATTTGTTCAATGTCATCCCTGAACATTTTGTATATGTTCAATTCAATCCGTGAACTATATGAAAATGTTCAATGCAGTCCTTTCCATTAATTCAAGTTGAGGGACTACTACATTGAACATTTTCATATAGTTCAGGGACTGAATTGAACATGTATCAAAAGTTCCTGGATGATATTGAACAAAATAAAAGTTCAGAGATCACATTGAACATTAGCCTAAAGTTCAAGGGTTACATTGAACAGATTAAAAGTTTAGGGACCAAATTGCATATTAGGTTAAAGTTCAGGGACTGTTTATGTTATTATCCCACTTTAAAACGAAGAGCTTTAACGTCATAGAAGGCAAGAACATCACAGCCGAACTAGCTTTAATGTCCCACATAGGATAGAAGGCAAGAACATGGCAGCAAAGCCAGGGATAAATACATGAGGTCGTCCTCGTTAAAAAGTCACGCAGCCATGTGGTGAGCACAAAGCGAACTATTCTTTCGCCTTTTACTAAAGAATACCGTGTGCTCGCCATATTCAGTGGCATACGCCAATTTTTGAAGGGGTTTCTTCATTCGAGGGAGCTCCTAAAATAGAGTTTGAATAATTGTTTATGTATAGCATAACAAAGCTATGTTGTTCTTGGAAAGCGTCGGAAGCAGTTTCAACACTGGCACATTCTGCAAATTTCTCTCAACACTAAAATTTTGATTTATGTGGCATTTTTGTTTGGAGTTCGGAGAAGTGACGCGTTTGACAGTTCTTAAAAACACAAGGGCATGCTTCTTCCCTTGTGGGTACAAACCAACCTTCGTGGAGAGTAGCAAAGGCACGTAGAAATTACTCTCCAAAGGCACGTAGAAATTATATAAGATGGCAAAAATGTTTCAATGACATAGAATCCTTGATACTAAGATCTGATCATAGACTTTAGGGACGGACACGGAACTCAATTCCGTCCTGCGAAGCCCCATTCCAAATGGGGCAATTTCTTTTGCCCATGAAAAATTGTTCCGGCGCCGCTAATATGCCCCTTTAGCATAACATTTATAAAAAATATATTAATTACTAGCAGTACAATAAAATGTCATCACTATATCCTATTAACGTATTATAGTTTATTACCCACTTAATTTAAGATTCATGATGTCAATCTGTCTCTACTTTGAGATACCAGCAATGCTCCCAACTCACAAGTCATTTCAAGTTTGGTTAATACCACGAAAAATCCCGAACCGATACACCTGTGATAAATTTATCAAAACCTAATTTTTTGATTACTAAAAGCCCAAACTGATATGTCTGTGACAAATTTACCCCAAACTAATGTTTTGACCACAAAAAACTCCAAACTGGTACATTTGTAACAAATTTACTCTCTGTTAGTTTTCGTTATATTAGATTAATTCCATAAAAATTTACAAACTGGTACACCTGTGATAAATAGATGATAAAATCCAAAACCGGTACATCCGTCAGTTACCGTGTGTCATTTAACAAGCAATTTGACAATAAAATTTAACGGAAACTAAAGGAGAGTAAATTTGTCACAGGTGTATTAGTTTGGGGTTTTTAGTAGTCAAAAACATTAGTTTGGGGTAAATTTGTTACAGGTGTACCAGTTCGG